CAAGGAAGCCAAACTGCTCTTGATGAGCAGTTTGAGAGAACTCTCAATAATATATATAAATTTCCTTTATTAAAATGATGTAAGTTTATTTATAAAATTTAGAGTTGAACCACAAACTGGCAACGAGCAGAGCAAGTTATAATCCTTTAGGCGGTCGAGGAGGAGTCGCTTGTACAGCTTGCCTATAGCCTTGAGGAGCCTGATAGGGTAACTAGACGGGACGTATTTATTTTTGCCGGGCTTGGGGATGTTCACCACGGCTTCTTTCCAGAAAACTGTCTGGAATCTCAATAATATATATAAATATTTATTAAAATGTGTTGGACAGCGCCGCGTTAAAAATAGAGAAAAAAATAGTAATAGTTGTATTTGTATTGGTCACCGTTGGGTATTTACTCATATATATTAAATATATATTAAAAAATGTTTTTAGTAATATCAGATGTCTAGAACAACGTAAAAGTAACACAAGCTCTGTTTATCTTGGCACTATACGGTTTCAATCTGTAGAATTGTCCAGGGTTAGTTCTCTTATATATTAATGCATAATAGGAGTCTAAAATCGATTAGTCCGATAATAAAACAATATAGAATGAATCTTAAAATAACGAATTTTATGAATTTAAACAGAAAATAGCATTTTGAGATCGTTCTTACATGGGGACACACATACAAGAACTTTCACGTTTACTAAAATGACGTATGTCTGGCCGTCGTGGGCTCTTGCTCTATAGTTTTATAGCTTTATTGCATATAAGTATAGCAGTTGGACGTACCCATACTACTTACCTCTATCTAATATCATTCAATTATGGGACCAATGCTAGCAATATACTCAATCAGGGTCAACCTCTACGCGATTTCCTCTGGAAATCATTGCATTTCCCATTACTTTGCTACGATACGAAGTGATCTGATTACATCCATGTCATTTCATTCTTCACTGGTTTCCAGTCAGAGAACTCAATCATTATTAGATACCCCAAGAATGCCATAAGAGACTACTATAGGAATAACACAAAAGACATTGTTAGAGATGTCAAAAGGAATCCAAAATGTATTTAGTTTGTAGGTAACTATAACTCTCAAAAGGATTCATACAAAATAACAGAACTGTAGATTTAGGTACACAATTAATGAGTTTACCGCACTATGTAGTGCTATTATTATGGTAAAATGTATAAATTAATCATTATTATAATTATAAAAGGATAACGTAGAGATTATAATTATAATAATACTACTCTAATCTAATATAATATAATATTATACTACTATATACTATATTACTTATATATTATACCTAATAATATTTGTATGTTTGTCAGGAAAAGTCTTAATTTATGTTTATTTTCTTAGATTTGTAAAATTAGATATAAGTTATAATTTTTCACGAACATAACTCATCGATAGGCCTAGCTAGATACAAATAAATTATAGGAGCAAGACATCAACAAGTCAGCTACACTACCAATGTAGACAGGTCGGTACATTTATAATTCACTCAGCATACAGTGATGTGAGTGAATAGCTATATACCTACATAATCCATTATTAATTCAGATTGCAGTCAGTGTCGAGTGACCCGTTTCCACCAAATTCGATTACGTTACGGCTTATCAAAAGACAAAAATATAGATATGTATAAAGATATTTCAATATTTGCTAGTTAGTTAATTTTAAAAGTGATAAACATTCTTGTGTGGTCTAGATTTAGCACACAGCCTTACTATCGGTCGCGGGTTCGATACCTCCCACGATTGATGCATTAGTATTCAGGAAAAAAATAATTATTTGTATTGGTTTTTTTCCGCACTACTCTAATGCTGTTGGCCGCAGCTGGGCTTTACAGCTTCACCGGACGTTAGGGGGCGAGTGCAGATGGCACTCTAAACCAGTGGCAGTACTTATGGAGCGGCTGAAGGCCAACTCCTGTCTGACGGATACGACTTTACTCTGAGGGCACCACTAGGGGTTCGAACCTCGGCTCAGACCGTGATAATATCGATCCCCGTTTGAATTGGACGGGGGATCGATCGCAGGGGCGCCAGGGGGCGCCGGTGTGGAGCGCCCGAGCGCGCGCAGGCGTCCGGTTGATTGCGCGATATGGTGTGTTGGGGGTCGTCGTCTTCGCCGGCGAGGACGGCGTCGTGTGTGTGTGTGTAAGTGTGGTCGGGGTGGAACGGGTGGGCCCGTGGGGAGGTTGACTGCCGTATGGGGTCGTCGGGGTCAAGAGGAACATGCCTCGGGCGACGTTGTCGCGTATGTCGGATATTACTCCTCGGTGTGTAGTCGACCGTACTAACTATAAGCGGGTTAGGGTGGGATTGGGCAGAGTCGAAGTAGCGTCGAGACGCTTCCTTCATAAACTGCTTGATGGAGGGCAGATTAAGGTCTCCACCGCGACCTTAATCTGCCCTCCATCAAGCAGTTTATGAAGGAAGCGTCTACGTTACAGCGATCTACACTACGAACGGACCACGGCGCACCAGTGGCTCGACGCAGAAACCTATTCTGTATAATCTGTAGGCTGTTAATTAGATAGTAGGGTATGTGGGCGAATACGGGACTGGCGTATGTCATGATGGAATGGATGAAAGCCTTGCATAATGTCAGATTGTTGCGAAGCGACATTTTACTGTGCTTGTTAATAAAAGGATAGAGTCGCCCTAGTATAAAGGCGGCGCGGTCGCGGAAACGTTAAATGTTGAAACGTTAGTTTCCTATCCAGGGTGACGCCGAGGTATTTCGTTTTCGAAACCTCCGGGATGCTTTGACCGAACAGTTCGATCGGGTGATTCATAGAGTCGAATTCCCTGCTAAAATACACTGCTGCACTTTTTTCGGGATTGACTTCTATGCGCCACCGACGGAACCATTCGCCCAGTATTGTTACGGCTTTCTGAAGCCGTCTGGCTATTGTCGTACGGGACTTGGCGAATATAAAGAGAGCCGTGTCGTCGGCAAACAGCGATATTTTGACTTTTAAGTCGGAGAATTTGGGGATGTCGTTGGTGTACAACGAGTAGAGCATCGGAGAGAGGACGGCGCCCTGAGGGACGTATGGGGTGCGGGTCGTATAACTCTCCGTTTATAAGGTAGCGATAAGAGCGATTCGACAGGAAGTCTCGTACTAGCCTGTCGAGGACACCTAACTGATGAAGCTTGTAAATCAAGCCGTTGTGCCAGACTTTATCGAAAGCCTTAGCGACATCGAAAACTAGAATGCCTGTACCGCCTTTGGGGAACAGTGGCGAAGTACAGGGTGTTTTTGTAAATGTGCTCCGTGATGCGGTGCACTTGGTGGACACATGAGTGTTTGGCAAGGAAGCCAAACTGCTCATTGATGAGCAGGCCTTTAGAGTGATTAAACTCCTTTAGGCGGTCGAGGAGGAGTCGCTTGTACAGCTTGCCTATAGCCTTGAGGAGCCTGATAGGGTAACTAGACGGGACGTATTTATTTTTTCCGGGCTTGGGGATGCCAATCACCACGGCTTCTTTCCAGCTGTCTGGAAATATGGTGTTGGACAGCGCCGCGTTAAAAATAGAGACGAGTAATAGTAATAGTTGTATTTGTATTGGTCTGGGTATTTACTACATATATATTAAATATGTATTTAAAAAATGTTTTTAAGTAATATCAGATGTCTAGAACAACGTAAAAGTAACACAAGCTCTGTTTATCTTGGCACTCTGTGAATTGTCCAGGGATTATTATTATTAATGCATAATAGGAGTCCCATCGATTAATCCGATAAAAATAGAATGAATCATTTTTTAGAATTTAAACAGAAAATAGCATTTTGAGTCGACATCCCACTCAGGTTGACTGTATGTATGGAGACATGTTACCAGGTCATGCATACTACTGCTACGCTATATGATAGTACGAAATATTTAATACGATGTGGAGAATATTTAATGCTTCGTCATGCTTTAAGTGGCTTTGCAGCTCTGTACTCACTTTATGCATATTACCTACCGTACAAAATGTTTTCAATGTTTCACTTCGATATGAGTCCATTATTGTTTTTAAATACATCTCTATATATTATTTGTAAAATGATATAGGATACTCAATAAGATACGCAACCGAACAGGCAGACATTGCCAACGAAGTTCAACGGATTATGAGATATACCTACATACGTTCCTTTGGTTGAATAACGAAATACAAACATATATGTATGTGTATATTAATATGAGAAAAGTCGAATTATTAATAAGTCAGATAAATAAGTGTAGAAACGTTCAATACAATTGCGTCAATCGTTTATTTTCATAGATACCTAAATCAATAATTTTGATACTAATTAATTTTAGGTCGGAATGATGATTATCGACTTGCTTTTTGAGAAGTTTTGTATCGTTAATAACTATTTTTACTGAGGATCGATTTCAGAGTACGCATCCGTAACTAGGTAATTATAAAATTACCAACTATAGGATCCCTTGTGAAATTTTGATGACGTAGACTTATAACTAAGCTTCAGACAAACTGCGCGAATTTTCGTTCAAATTAGTTTAATAGTTTGGCCACTTTGACGTACCTATGTATATGTATCTTAGCTACTTTGTTAGTACTCCGACAGAACTCGCTTTCTCACTTACCTATAATAATATTAAATTACTAGTTGTACCCACGACTTCGTCTACGTAGAATATACCTTTTTTTTAATAAAATACATAAAATTCCTAAAATCCAAGTAACCTAAATTACTCCTTATAACATTAGCCAGTTCATCCGGAAGTCTTCTTAAAATGATCAGTGTAAAACGAACGCAAGTTAAAAAATATATATCTTACTAGGTAATAAATTATGAATATGCGATGTAATCAACATGGGAGCTTTAACGTTAGGCATATTCTTCTATAAGTTATAATATATAAAGTAGTTAACGCACAACTAGTCTAGAATATTAGGTAGTAGTATATAATATTTTTAGTTAATAAAAATAATATAAATTCACATACTTGATCACAAGTTATAAAACTTTCAGTTGTGTCAGCCAGCGAGCAACGAAAGTGCCACTGGTGTGGTCCACTAGCCGAACAGGTGCATCGCAGCCGCAGGGCGCTACCCTGCGACACCAGTCAGGACACCAATCATGTTACCGTTTGTGATCCTGGATATCCATATTGCGCAGTTGTAGTCACATCGCCACGTATGTGAGATTAATTATAAGTTAACTTAAGAATATACTAAATAGCCCCCATTGACACTTTTTCTGCCCTTAACCGTATTTCTAGAGACTAGTCGTGAAGTGCACGACCTAAGATGGCACTAGTTTTAAACTATCTCGGGGCGGATTATTGGCACTGGCAATGGGTTTTGGCCCGCGGGCCGTAGTTTGAACATCTGTAATGTGTAATGTTTTAAAACCTCTAACCAATCATCAACATAATTTACTAACCAAGCACACCAAAATTATTATATCTTGCAACCGGTGTCGCATGTACCGTCATAAATTCAAATGTATTAATACGTTTTTTTTTCTATTTTACAGCGTACATCGAGTCAAGATACTGTGTCAAAATTTATCAAGACGAGTGTTATTCAATATTTTGCAATTCAACAAAAAAATGGCGGATGACCTGTCCGTGTCATGGAGATCTCTGCAACGGTATACACACTGAGCGAGAGAATCTGGCGTTTCGAGTTATCCTTCCCAAACTTGTTGCCAAAACACATAGTTCTAAAATTAAAAAAAGAACAATATTGACCTCCCAATCTCTTATCGGATCAGAGGAATATAAACTACAGACACCGAAGGAAGCTATTATAGCAAACGACGTTTTTAATGAAACTGATAATACTAATGTTACTGAAGAATCTGATGAACAAAAAAAGAATGACGTTGTTATGGCAATAATTGATAATAACCTTACTGAGTCACTAATACAAGATCCGATTAATGAAGTCAAAACAGTTGACGACGATAATTCAATTGACAAAATACACATTGAACTTACTACTAAAATAAACAATGTCAAAAATAAAGAAAACGATTTAACAACATATGCAACTGAAGCACCAATGATGACCACGGCGAAAATACGAAACGATAAATCCATAATTAATACTGAAGTAAAACCTAGCGAAGTGTTACCAACTGCAAAAGCACTTCAACAAAATGTCAGCCCCGTCTATACAATGGAAAACCAAGATATTGGACAAATTACTACCGAATCAACGTCCATCACCACATCTGTAACTCTCTCAACCACATCTATAACTCATACAGAAATAAATAAAATAAAGCCGACATCGTCATTAAAGAAGAACAATGCAGAACAACATTTTTCACATTTCTTTATAATAATAGTAATCTGCTTAAATATTATTATTTTTTAAAAATAAAGTAATTTAATAATTAATTTTATATAAAAGATATTGATCTCTTACAATTTTAACTGTACGCCAGACATGATTATACTTACAATATATTCGCGATACTATTGGTTTTCAAAATGTGATATTAGCATTAGACAGTGCAAATAAATACAAACATGGAAAAAATGTTTTATTTAAATAGCAATCAATCAAAAGTAAAATCATAATGCTTTGGTAGTTGCTTATTACTCGTTTTGGTTTCTAAACTTTTAGATCCTTGTGCATATGCTTCTCTAATATCAGACACAAATGGTTTTTCAAACTTAACATGTTTAGGTACTGGTCCATAATAGTCATAAGTTGGCGGTGGAGCTACTTCTATATGGTTTGTTTCATTTGCTCTTTTCACGGGCCTGTTACTTCGATCTTGAACGGCATCTTCATTTTCATCAATCTCATTTACTATGGGAGTATCTTCGTGAGCTTTAATAAAATTTCTGTACTTAACATTATGTCCAGGTTTCTTAACTGTAGAAAAATAAAGTCCCTTTTCTTCACTTATATCCCCAATAATAGGTGGTGGTGGAGTTTTTACTCTAGGTCTAACGTCTGACCATCTCTTTTCCACTGGCATATTTGTTTCTAAATTAATCATTCTACCAGTCGTGTCAAATGAATAGTTAGATTTATTGATCTGTAAAGTCTGTGGTGGGGCGAATTCTTCTATTCTTTTGTCTCTCTGTTGATCAACATATTCTTCTTGTGTCATTTCCCTAAACTTCTTAATTTTCTCATCAACTCCCTCTTTGCCCAAATCCCATTCACGTACGTAGGCCTCACGTAACTTTTGTCTTTCTTTTTCTTGCTCCTCACGAATTTTCGTTTCAGTTTGTTTCGCCTTTTCATCGGCTTCATTTTTCTGTTGCGTTAAAAATTCCATTAAACGTGTAGTGAAATCATTTTCATTATCTGAAAAGAAAAAGAAAAACTAATACTGTTACAATTTAGACAAGAAAGGCTAAATGTCAACAATTTAGATAGATATACGTAAATGAACATCTGTTTCCTAGTTAAAAAAATAATACATATCTTCAAATGACCAGTTGGTCATTTTAATAAGATCCGAACGAACTTGTGTTATAAAATAATGTCTATGCATGCAAAACATTAGTGTTATTAAAACCCCTATACCGTTTTAAGCCTTTCATGGTTCACAACAGGTTACAATATTTTAATACTAATGATTTAAATTTTATTATTACGAAAAGTTCTAATATTTTAACAATATAAATTGGTAATTATACATTATTAGCTACTCGGTTTGGCTTCGCACGGGTGTACATGTTTTATATATATAAACCTTCCTCTAGAATCACTCTATTTATTTAAAAAACCGCTTCAAAATCCGTTACGTAGTTTTAAAGATTTAAGCATACATAGGGACAGATAGACAGTAACATTCGACTTTGTTTTATACTATGTAATAATGATTATGTTATGTTTTTAGTTATTTTTTAATTTACATTAATGAAAACCAAGACAATATCATGATACACAGGTTTAAGTAACGTCGGATCGCAATATCTTTTCCAAGATTATAAAAGTACAGTAAGCGATTAAATAGTATTCTAAATATTTATAAAACCTTTCGGTTCCTCAGGCGGAAGGCCAGCCCTGGCCCTCTGGCGCGCTCGTGCCGCCGCCACCCTGGCAGCCAACAGAGCATCTCGTTTTTTTCTAGCCTCCTCTGCATCCTGTTGCGCTTTCAATGTTTCTTGCCGACGCTTCACCAACTCTTCCATTTGCTTTCGACGTTCTGTCTCGTCGGTACTAAACGAGTAATAACCGACACCGTGTATACGTGCCTCTGCAAAAAATAACATTGAATAGTAGTATTAAGTAAATTACTTACCATTTTGTAATGAAAACGCCAGTGTTACTATTTTTGGTAATTGGAATGGATAGCAAGCTGATGACACATCAGCTGATACTATATATAGGGTACTTGAATTAATAATGAGCGTTTTTTTTTAAGTTTACGGATTCGTTTTCAAATAATGGTTCCAAATATATTAATCGAAGTATTGTACATCGCTGGCCACTACCTTTTTCCATCTTTCTGGTAATTTTCGGATGCCAGCTCGAAAAAATTATTCGTCTTTTGAGGCAATCCAATCATTGACCCATTTTTTGGATTGTTCATATGAAGTGAACTTCTGATGGGTCAGGCCCATGTGTCATCGACTGGAATATATAATAATCAGAAGGAGCAATGTCTGGAGATTACAGTGGGTTAGGTAGGACTTCCCCTTTCAGAGTTTCTAGGTAGATTTTACCGGTTTTGTAAAATGTGTCCGAGCGTGTCATGCTGCATAATCACTTTATTGTGCCTTTCTTCGAATTTTAGCCGATTTTGCTTCAGTATGACGCTTATTCGCATGAGTTGAGTCTGATAGCATTCCCCCCGTGATTATTTCGGTTTGAACAGCTCAGTAGTAGATGACGCTGCTGGTCCCACCAAATACAGAGCATAAACTTCATGCCATGAATATTCGGCTTTGCGAAGAATGTTGATGGCTGTCCGAACTTTTTGCGCTTGGGTTATCATAACGAAATCACTTTTCATCGCCAGTGATAATGCGATTCAAAAAGCCCTTCCTTTTTTGGCATGAAGAAGAACTCCCCGCAAAAACGCTTTATTTGGTACGTAATTGGACATGTTCGAAACAATATTTAGTACTGTTGTATACGTTTCAATTAAATGATACTAGCTATTTAAGACGACCACAGAGTGTAGGTTTTAGCGGGAAGACATTGCAAACTGTAATATTGAAACATACACTAGTGGCGGCCTCCTGATCGAAACGCTCATTATTAATTCAAGTACCCTATACATAAACAGTACTCTGGGCATCACATTATCATGTGACACTCATGTGTGGAATGTCAACAGATGAGTAGTATCACGGGTGAAGACTAAGATGAATGCAAGCACTGAATCTCTATTTCTATAATTACACTTATATCCTGTATACTAAGTTAGAATAATGACCTACACAGTTAATAAAAGTGCTGATATGATTTGTTCAGTTTATACATATTAGATACTTAATTTTAAATCTATTGATTAATCACCTCCTCTATTACTAAAAAATAATACAAACCATCGAACAGCAAGTCTTGATAATGTATGTCTTTATCTTTGGCTAATAAATCTCTCTCTTTTTCCTCCCATTTTTGCCGTAATGACAACAGGTAATCATTTGTCTTTTGCACCAAAAACGGTTTCTCTGTGGTTGTAGTAGATACCTATAATTATTATATTATTGATTATATTTACCACTCACAAAAATTCTTAAAAATAAATAAATAAAATTAGCCCATCTTATATCACAAAAACTCTAAATTAAGAGGTGTTAAAAAGCTCGTTTTATTATTAGTCTTTTTGGAATTACAATCTTGCATATTTTACCGGAAACAACTCTGCAACTGTTAACATCTGTTTTCATAAATATTTGCCCCACTTTCGGCATTTATAATTCGGCATATATATTCAGCCTAAATAAAATAAAATATAATACACTAAGACATAACTTTTGAATTTTTTTAATTGTATTGTTTAATAACTATGTACTTGAATACCGATCCTTAAGTTTGGTGTGGATATGCTGAATCATGCTGACAAGTACCTCTATTTGGGGAATAATTAATCATTTACCGAAATCATCAGTAGGGTCAAGCCTGAGACATGGCTTTATGGAAACTACTGCGGAATTAGAGCTTTAGGGACACTGTATTCCCAGTTTCTCAACTGACCACAAAAAGTTTAAATGACCCTTGTGTCATCAAATCTTTTATATCCTTAAGAGATGTACTTCAATGACGCTGCCCCATCATGAAGATCAGAGTTTGACTAATATAAAATGAATCACGTATTACCCTTACACAGATTCTATACAAAATCGACCATGTGAAGGAATCACTCCAATGTTAATCGTACTATCATGTCTTCATTAACAATGATATCCTGTACAGCGCAAAATTAGGCGCCAAGTTGACTAGGTCAAAATGAGCTTTTTAAAATTGATATTTATATTACAGCGTAATCATTCACTTTGAAACCATTTGAAGGCGCCTAAATCAGGTTCATTTGAAAGGCAATAATGCGAATATTTTTGATATTATCAAACACATATTTACTCGAAAATAAAATTATATAGTTGCACACAACAGGTATCCGCTTATTAATTTTATGATTAGAAGAATTAACACTGCCTTATGCATGTAAAATTTCATTTAAACATTTATAAGAGATATCACCATCAATGTCAAATTAACTAGAATTTTAAGAACAATGCAATGTACTTATATTAAGATAATTATAATTTATTAAAATTATGTAGGTAGTATTAAACTGTAATAAAGCTTTAAAAATATTTGTGCTTACATCACTTTTTTCCTCATCTTCCACTCCGATATTTGCTTTATCCTTATTAACTGCCCTCAATAGGTCTTTATCTCTTTTCTGATATGTTTCTAAGTCAGACTTGTGACATTTGCGTGTTCGCCCCAAACAATCCGTGAACTCAGTCCTATTAAAAAAACATTATAATACCAATCAAGTTATTTACAATATACTCTAAATGAAAATTAGTACATAAATTATATACTTAATACATTTCTTATTTTACAAAGACAAATCTATAACAAAAAAAAACCTCATTTTTGGTGATTTTGTTACACATTTAAAGTAAGTGCAATTTAAAAATTTATAACAAAGTTATGAAATTTAATAAATTATGAGTTGTTGATAAGGAAAGTACCCAATATTTTTTCTAGCCACAAAAAAACGGGATCTATTAGGGATTTCCTAATTTTAGTTGTTAGTTCAAATAAAAGCTGAATTTGTTATGAACTAATTATGGGGGTGATTTATATGAAATCTCTTGAAAAAAGAAATATAATGATTCTTCTTCCAAAGAAGATATTTTACACAAATAAATAATTTAAAAAAGAATGACATTGCAATACTTTTGTATTTTTATTCTAAAATAAAATAGCAATTGCAATCAAATCTCATTCATATGTAATTTTTTAAAACAACAATTAAATTAATGAATAATAAAGTATCAGTTACCATTCACTTGGATCGTCCTGTACAAATGATATACCTCCATCATCATTGCTTGCACTTTCAATATTGTTAGAGTTCTTGACTAAAAATTCTATAGCCTGCTCTTGCTTTTTAGATTTAAAATCAACAAGAAATCTACCAGCAAGTTGTGAATTACCAGCACCATCCGACAGATGTTCATATAACTCTGTTTTCTTCTCCAATACTAATCTGTTAAATATATAAATAAATCACTATCTTTCTCTGATGGCAGAATAAAAATACACTCCTTTTCCAATTCAGAAATTTCAAAACATGACTGGAGGAAAAATGACAAAAACTAAAAACATGAGTCTATAAAAAAATTGTTGCAGTGAACAAAATCAATTTGATTAAAATGGATATTATTATCATATATGGACATATCTCTCATACTTTTACAGAAATTATGTTTGTAAATTAAAATATTTAGTACAAATTCTTGTTATATATAATGTGTTAACTATATTGTGACTTTTTTGTATAAAGTACACAAAAAAGGCATAATTGCCAAGTATAAGAAAATCAAATTGACATTAATTAATATAACAAGGTCACATAGACATATTTCTATCTCATAACTTTAAACCAATATATGAGAAAAGTATAGTTATTAGTATCATTAATGTTACATACTAATTACATATGAAAGTAAGACATACTAGATACATATACTTATACATACTTGGCTTTCCTACAAGCTTCCAATTCCTCTGTATCAACAGCTTTCAATTTTTCTTTAAAACTTGGTTTTGATGACTTATCAGCATTTTTGTCTGCATGAGTATTATTAGCATGTGATGGTTTAAAGTTCTCTAATTTATTCTTAGGCAATTGCTTCTGCTCTAAAACCTGTTCCTGTTTTTTTAAAAGCTCTGCTTTAAGGCTGAGCAACTGAAAATAATTATAAACATGACATAGTTATGGCTGTTGAGTAGCCACAAGTTTCTTTCTTGAAAATACAAGATTCTTTATCTGTAGATATATTATAAAAACAAAAAACTATTGATGAATTTGCATTATTTATTATTATGGGTTCTATCTTACGCAGATATACACTGACCCCAAATAAATGGAATAAGGAAAAAGCAGATTATCATTTCTTACACACATCATCTTACTTTCCTTTGGTCATATCAACACAACATTTCTAATTATATGATTGTCTGATTGATACTAAAATGAGTAGAGAGAATTTAGTACTCATTTCATAGTCAATCAGAAAACATTATGGATGCATTTTCAAGTGTTTCACACTCACCTATCTGTTTATTTAATTAATAAAATAATGATGAATGTTCAATTAGGATTATTTACATTATTGAAAGAAATCTTAATTCAGATATCAGGACCTTGGGAAGTCATCTGTACGCAGTTCTATTTTTATTTTATTAATATTTTATAATTATATGAGATTGTAGAACCATCAAATTCATGTCCTAGTCTCATCCTTATTATATATGCTGTGACAGCCTTGTTAGTGTATTCTTGTCACAAGATCTTGTCATATGTCTCAGAAGCCACTATACATATTGGAAATAATCTAGAATGAAAATATAAATAGGCAATAAAATTGTATTTACTTTAAAAACTTACCGTAGACTTATTAAAAAGAATCTTTTTTGTATTCTCGTTCATTGTAATCAAAGCCGTTTTGAATACTTATTAATATTATTATAGGTCTATCACTATATTTAATCTAAGGGATCTAATATATATTTTATCATGAAGTAACATTTATATTAAACCATAACAAACTGTACTGCAATTTTTGTAAAAAAAATATTAATTTCATTAAGTAAGACAACGAAACATAAATATGGCTAGCTGTCAAATTATTATAAATAATTAATAAATTTTCTTCTGGAACCAAAAAATTACACTGTTTGTTACTCACACAAGCAAAACCACAGACAAAATTCACAACACAGATTATAGAATGATATAGTAGTAGTATATTTTATCCACAAGTAGATAGGCAAAGGTACGAGACCATACAACCTAATTTTTAGTAGTATTTTCATGTGGTTTTAAATTCTATAAGGCGAGTTCGCCAAATCTTTTGTTAATTATAAGATTATGTTTCACTGTTCTTCAAGTAGGGCTCCATATTTGAAATGTTTAGAATTCTGCGATAGTTGTTATGATGAAGTCATAAATTGTTTTAAAAGTACATTTGAATAGTTCTTGAAGCGATGGCGAGATAATGATTAGAAACGTTGCCTCTTCTTGCTTGACGATAACTGTCAATGTTGCCAACCAACGAATTCATATTTTTTTTAAAGTTGTCTCTCCTGATTTATAATATTTTATGATTGCTAATTTCATTGTCGTCTGACAATCATTCATCTACGTCCCTGATGATATATTTTTCCAATCACAAAGGAATAATCTTTTGTGTACAAACTATACTGGGAACAAATCTCTAAAAATCATTCACATGAACAATTTTTCTACAGACTAATCCTACGTCCATATACCTCTGTGTCAGCCAGTCAGTGATTTAAAAGCTTGAAATTAAAATGTCAACTCCTGCTAGAAGACGTCTTATGAGGGATTTTAAACGGTTTGTACACAATAATTTAATGCTTTCCTTCTTCATTACATTCTCCAACGTCATTATCATATATTTTTAAAAGTTTATAACATATTTTTATATGCATAGTAGTGCTGATTCATCAAATTACATCACTGTCATTTTCATCGATTTCTACGTTCTACATTTCGATATACTCATTATATTACAAAAATGAAAGTTTTGTTACCCATCACCAAAAACTGTAAATTTTAATTAGACTAAACCAACGTCATTCTCCTTTTGTGTTTGTTTATATGTATAGATAGATGTATATGTACCTATGTAGGTTATCCAAATATATTGTAATGTCTAGCGTCCTACATTTCTGTTTGATAATTAACACAATGGTTTCGTGTAATTCATAAGGAATTATTAAATTCTATATGAAAAAATAGTAGGTACTAGTAGCAGTAGTTGGTACAGTGCTATATTTTAAATCATTCATATTTATTTCTTATTATCACTTTACAATTAACATTATTATATTATTACTTTCTTACAGTGTGTTGGTGGATATTTTATTACTTTAATTAACCTCATAATTTATTCTGATTGTGACATTTGGTATCAGGAATCTAAATATATAATTAAGAAACTCAATATATTTTGCTTTTTACATTTATCTTTATACATCATGAGTTAAAAAAACATTAATTCTTACAATCAATCTGCATAGGTTGCGTAGAGACATAAATTTGTATATAAATTATCTTTAAAATGTTTATTACAAAATTAAAAAATTCTTTCATATTTATTTTAACAACAATAACTCCATTTTATGTAAAATAATTTATGCAACCAAAACTTGTTTTAAATCAAGACATAATGTATTCTAATCAGTAATTTTACCTAAAAATAATATATACATATTGTTATATTACAGTTTACAGGAAGATCCACCTACAGGTGTGTCAGGTGCTCCTACAGACAACAACATCATGATATGGAATGCTGTGATATTTGGTCCTCATGACACACCTTTTGAAGACGGAACATTCAAACTCACCATAGAATTTACAGAGGAATATCCAAATAAACCTCCAACAGTAAGATTTGTGTCTAAAATGTTTCATCCAAATGTGTATGCCGATGGTGGCATATGTTTAGACATTTTGCAAAACAGATGGAGTCCAACTTATGATGTATCAGCTATTCTAACATCCATACAGGTAATTTAATAAAACTATTTTAATAACTATATAACTTTGCATTTAATAGCATGAAGATTTGATTTGATGATTGTAATTATTAAAAGTAAAGTAGTTACTAAACTTTGCAGTTTATTTTTGGGATAACAACAGCTTATATTAGTATTTTACAATAAAAAAATATATTAATCTTAGCCAATTATAGTAATCCAGGATATAATTTGCATTGAATATAAAGAATAACCTTATTATATTAGGACTAAGTCGGTAAAAAGCAGATTTATTATAATTTTATACATTTTGAGAAAACACATTGATTGATTGATAATTTGTTGTCTGAACTTCTCCCTCTTTGGGCCTGGGGTCTACTGTAAAATAATAATTCTTGTGTTCATGTCTACAAGTAATTTGTAGTATTTAATGAGATGCTTATTTATTCTACTATGATTGAATGGACTAAGAACTTAACAAAGCAATGCAAACTGTAATTGTGTATGGTTTTAATCTAGACATTCAGGTTTGCAGTTTCAGTATACACCTCTATGAGGTATGTAGATATGATATGATACAGTTATTAATTTACTTGTCTTTTTCTATTTTATATATGTTACTATATATAATTGTTTTGCACATGTATATATAAGTGTTTGTCACCTACCTCCATCTATATGGTTTGGTTGTATTTGGATGAAAATTTGTATGTATATTTCAATGGGTTCCTGGTGGTTTGAATATATACTTAGACCTGATAAGGTATTAGGTATAGTAAAACAGCACCTTCATGAGCAGGGCAATTTTAGCTGGGTCCACTATATACAAATTAAGTTGATTCCATCATAATTTCTAACATTTATCAAACTCATACTTCTATTTTTCATACACATGCAATTTTAATAAAATAATTTGAAATGCAAAACCTCCACTTGAATTATTAATTAATGTTATGTTAATAATGTATTTAAAAGGTATTAATAATTTTTCCTTAAGATTGTGTATCCATACTAATATTGTAAATGTGAATGTGAGGGTCTGTCCGTTTCTTTTTTACCTTATTGATATTTGTATAGAGATTGAATATATTGGAAGGAAGGACATAAGCTATATCTTTGATCTGTAGCAGAGGAAGTCATGGAAAACAGGTAGTTTGTTATAGGCAGTAAAAATGTATTTACTATTTTTTATACATCTTGTATGAATTGCTGAATAGTGTATTAAAATTCTTTCTGTCCATCCTATTAAGTATAGTAATGTGTATATATATACGAACTTTAGATGTATTTCACATGTCATTTCATATTGTATACCAATTAATCAATTAATATACAATTTATTGCAGTCGTTACTAAGTGACCCCAACCCCAATTCACCTGCAAACTCAATGGCAGCACAACTATACAAAGAAAACAGGAGGGAATACGAAAAACGGGTGAAAGCGTGTGTGGAACAATCATTTATAGATTAGCAGGGGACAGCCAGGATCTCAGACATCAGTGATGTATGCATGACTGTGCTGCTGATAATGCTGGCATATACAACCATGTAAATTCATTGGGACAAATATGTAGTATAGCTATATAGCATCATGATATAACTTTTTTAAGATTAATCTCTTACAAATCCCTAATTTAGAAAACACTATTATTATTATACCATAATTAAAAATAACATTGATACTTTCTAGAATTATAATCTACTGCTATCTCATAATGCTGTAAGCCATTATTCATAAAGTAGTAACAAATATTACCACCAAGAAAAGTTTCATAGCGTTTTTTAAATATATGAGAATAATATAACCAAAAACAAAGACACCATGAATGTACATCTAACATATTAACTATATCGAGGGTTACTCTCAGACATTCGCAACTACTGAAAGGGGAAGTGATCACATTTGTTATACCTATATATGTAATCTATATTTGAGAGATCATATAATATAATGACTAATGTTGAGCCTTATAGGTTTAGTACAATACTGAATCAACAGAAATATACACATAGGTTCGGTCGCCAATCAGCCGGTCTGTTATATGTGACGAGCCCTTATACCAAGGCAATTTGTATCTAAATCGGGATATGATTGATGTTATCACACCGTTTATACCGCATATACTAGTCCATGACGAAGTAATGGAAACAAACTAGTTCATTATAGATACACAATTCATGATTGTGAGGAATATTTTATATGTTACGTTCATACCACTCTCTCTATTCAGTTTATATAGTTAGTAGACTATTACATGTCTAGTGAATTTAGATTCAGACATTTTGTTTCTGTTTCTTAATCTGGAGCCACTTCCTAGAATGAACAGAGTCAACATTGATTTCATATAGACAAAATTGAATATGTTTAGTTATAATAAATACTATATATCTAACAAGATCAAATTTCGCAACTTTTCCAACGACTGCAATATGGAGGAGATTCTCAAAGTTACTATTCTAGTACCTAATTCAATTAATTATTCTAATTATATAATTCTAATCTTTACTTCTGTATACATTCGCTAAAAATTCTGTTAGTTTTTTTTTACACTAAAATACTAAATCTATTTTCCTTAATATTACGTATTTGTCTGCTAAATTAAAATAATAATATGGTCGTCTATATGATGTGTGTATACTATAATATTCACTTTCTCCCTGTTAAACGAAATTTTAGTCTTATTATTATATCTACCCAATACACTTGGTGCTCAAACCGGAGTTTATATCTGAAATTAGTTAAAATAATAGGAGAGGGGTTATATTTTCTATCAACATACCTTTGCAGACATATTTTTCCATTACGAGATGAATGTCAAAGATTATTTTTTTAATAATTTACAGACATGCATAATACAATGTAGGTCGGACAGTTCACTGTCAGACCTACAGGTCTCATCAATTTACATATACTGCTAAAAGCATAGTAAGTTGTAAGTAGTCAAACTTTTTGTAACTTGCTATAAAATGTTTCACTACTTACAACCACACAAAAATTAATACATAAGTACTGATTTTTGTATATTCACATAAAACAATTGGGTTTATATACTTTTGCGAAATAACATAATTACGTTTTACCACCATTTCCTTATCCTATTTTTTTTAATCCTGCTGCACAAGTAAGCTAGATCCGAGTTATGAAATTGTCCCAATGGATCTATTCTGCAACAATGTGTAGCAGTTTCTTGTTTTTTTTTATTGAAACTAAAAGTAAAAATGTCTAGTGTTGCAAAGATATTTTTACGTACCTATGTGTAATATTTTGTCCTAGTAAAATATTATTTTCGGTTTTATATTGTGTTTAATTTTACGTCATTCCTAATGTGTCTGTGTATGTAATTATACTCTGATTTCAAGTTCAAGATTTCGATGTAGTTTACATCGAAATCATGGAGAAAATTATTAAGTTACATATAAGGGAAACCTGGTACTGATCTTTTTATTCAGGTGCTGAAACGTGCTAAAATGTGTAAAGTTCATGATATATTCAGTAACATAGTTACTCTCGGCATGCTTGGATGCTGGACAAATAAAAAAAAACAGTGAATGTGTTACGAACGTGTGATTTACTTTTATAAAAGTGGGAGTCCCAGTTGCAGTTGGTATGTCTAAGAACTACACGGAAAATATTTGCTTATTGCCAATTGATGCAATTAATGTTCTCCATTTGGCCAAGATTTTTGGAAATCTAAAGTAAAAATGCAATCAATTTATGAAAATATTTTATACGAATATTTTTAGTACAAAATACTTAATTAAATACTACATTTGTAATATATTATAGAACATACATATAATGAAAAGTAAGTACTTATGTACTGATTCAACAAAAAATATAGGTACACATGCGCTACTATCCGCATTTCAAAGTTACGGAATAAATATCAAAATGGTCATTTTTTGACCGTACAAAAATTTGTTAACTGTACTTATTTCAAAATTATTAACTACCCATCGAAACTATTCAGTCGTAGGTACAGTCAACTTCATATACTTATTGAAGTCTTTTGGTCGTTAATTTTATCATGCAAAGTTGCTAATAATAACATTTCTAAACAAATTAGAAATTATAGGTATGTTAATGTACATATGGGTTAATTGCCCCGTCTATAATCAATAATGAATGAATCTTAATTGAATAATGATAAATAAAATTTACTGTCGTCATTAAGTCCGGTTTCAATTAATCTTAATAACGTAAATTAATCTTAAATATTGGAGAATTTATCTCACTTAACTAATACATTATCTATCACCGAGTTTTTAAATCTTCTTTTAATTTGAAATGTATAAGTTCCATACAAACTGTAGCATCTTCAGCACTGTCATGTCCGTCTACTGAATTTTGAATTATCTTCTTTAAATATTCAGATGATAAATTTCTTAACGCCCTTTTATATGGAGGTCCCATTTTATGAGGAAACAATACACTGGTATCAATAACAGTGTCATGGATAAGTTTAAGAGCTTTGAAATCAGATTCTAAGCTGTGGCCTACTAAAATAGTTTGACTATTGAACATAGTAAGTAACGTTGCTTGAACTTCCAACAATGTAGTTTTCACTTCTAACATTTGTTCTTCTGTAATACCCGAGTACCTAGTATTATAGTCTACAATTGGATGTAAAGGTCTAATTAAAGTTTCATATACTACCTTGCAAGCAGAATTGATAACTGTAACTCTAGTTAAATCTAAACCATGGGTTGTATAACACATTTCACAGTCTAAAGAATATACACCATAATCATCCATAAATGTTTCAGGTGGCATTGTCCTAACATAACCTTTGAGGTTCTCATAATCCACATACTCATATACATGGCTGGGTGCAACACAACAGCCATCAGAAGTTCCATCTTGGCTACAGCACTGATATCGAGCTTCACCATGTACTCTATATTTATTATTTGGATGATATATGCATTCTTCTTTTACTGCAGCAAATCCTTTTTTAGTAACTGTATAATTTTTCTTACACCTACAACAAGTTCTTATATAGCCATTTGGTGGCTTCTGTTTATTCTGACCAAAAATAATAGCTCTACCCTTTTCTCCAGTAGGATGAGGTCTAGGAAAACCATTCTCTTTTAATTGTTCTTCGGTTAGAAGCCACTTTTTAATATTATTATACAACTTTGCTCCATTGAACTCATGTGACTTGTCAAAACTTCCCTTGTTTTTATTTTCTATACTCCAAGATCCCATGTGATTTGTTTTGGCTGATGTACTTTGTGGAATTTTCTGTATTGTAGAGCAATTAGATCCTGATTTTTTTACACCATTACATTCTTGGAACTCTTTTCTTAGTCTACTTACAGTCAATACTGCAGAGTTTTTATAGATTTGCACTGTAGAACATTTCTTACTAGTAATCAACTCTTCATGTTGTGCTCTGGCATAAGCATCTGTTGCAGATAAATATAATTTGAGACACTCATCTATCATCATATTCAAATATGTAGAGCGTATATTTGCAGGAATCTTAGATGCAAGGGGTTCTAAAACACCAGGTCTATCAATGAATTTTTCATTAGGTATGTGTGCAACACGCTGTGCTCCCTTCTTAACAGTTTGTATCACAGTGGAACTAGTAGAAGCCTCATCTTTTACTGTTTTTGAAGTAGGTGAAATAGTTTTTTTGGCATTTAACAATGTGGAAGCATAGGGCACATGTGCAATACGAATTTTTGAACTGCCAGTATTAGCAGTACTAAATGTAGTTTTTGCAACCTCTGTTTTATTCACAATATTTTCTGTAGTGTGACTCTGTGTTTTAGAAGCATGATATTCTCTTACTTTCTGTAATCTTTTAGCCATTGTTTGGACAGCACTCAATTTAAAGTCAGGTTTCATAGGAGTTTTTGGTATTACTTTAATATTTTTATCTACTGTTCTTGATATTCTCTTCTTACTTGATACATATTCTTTATCAGTATCATCTACTTTATTGTCCATTTCTTCATACACTTTCGGTTTTTCCATAGGAACATATTCTTCAAATATTTTTTTACATTCCATTGCTATTGTCTCTTCATCTGAATCATCATAAATATCATCATTACTTAATTCAACATTTTCGCTAGTCTGTTTATCATCTTCTGATAAATCCACTGATGGTGACTTATTTTTTCTTTTCTTACTATTTTCTTTAGAATCTTTAGATTTTCTATGTGATCTATCATGATTGGATTCATTTCTTTTAGAATCATTTTTAGAACTATTGGAGTGCTTTGAATGTCTTTCTGAACTTTTTGATGTTCTTGTTTTAGAATTGTCATCAGAACTTTTACTGGAGTTGGAGTGTTTTTTCTTTTCACTGTAATGTTTTTCTTTCTTTTCCTCTTTACTTTTGTGATTTTTACTTTTATCATTGGCCAAATCTTTCTTGTTAGACTTTTCTGATTTTATATATTCACTTTTTGTTTTATCATATGACCCGGATTTATTTTTATAGTCTACTTTTTCTTTACTATGTGATTGCTTTTCACTTTTTTTACTATTGTCTTTCATACAATGTTTAGTAATGGTCTTATTTTCCTTGCTTTTATTATTATCTTTATTTTTCTCTGTGTTATTAGCATGTATTTTATTTTCTTCTTTTTTATGATTATCTATTTTTTCTTCATCTAATATTTGATCTAAAATATCAAACTCTGGGCCTAGGTCGTCTAAACCATTGAGGTCACTAGATAACTTTCTTTTCTTCTCGTTAGGCTCATCTTCATCACTTGAAAAATAAGGAACTTGTGATCGAGGGGTAGGTCGATATGTAACGGAAGGTGTGGCAATTTTTGTGTTGACTTTAGTTGGTTTATACTCCAATATTTTCTTTTTACTAACACTTTTATCTGAAGGAACATAACTGTGTTTATTTGAAGATGGTGGTGTTGTCTCCTTAGGTGTATATTCCTGCAATTCTACTTCAGTACCAGGCAAATATTTATCTTTTGATTCTGTTGTTTTTGACCCTTCAGGAGTATAAGGATCCAATTTTGGAGAATCATTGCTTCCAGGGGAGTATGTTACTGGCGGTGGTAAATAAATGAAAGGTTTAGAAGAATTATTAGAATCAGCAGGTCTTTGAATAGACAAAGTTACAGGCTTCCTTGGGGTATAAGGTACTGGTATATGTCTCTTTCTCTGTTCACTTATATCCTCGATATTTTCGGTGTCCGCAGTAGCTATTTTGTTTAATTCTACTATGGGTGTTGGATTATATGTTACTTTAGTAGATGATTGAGCATTTGTTATTTTAATATCGCCATCATCACTATTGCTTGTCATACATTGCACAGTACTAGTAGTTGGGTCCGTCTGTTGGAGCACTTTCTGAACTGCTGCTGAAACCAGCTTTTGTAAAATTGCTCCACTTTCTATTCCTTCATTAACTGTATTTTGTGTTTCTCTCTTAGCATGGCGAAAATGACAGTAAGGTCTTTCACATAGACCACTGTCGTAGAATGGACAATTAATACCTTTAAAGTAACCAGTCGACGGCAGCATTATTTGTATTTCTATGAAACTATTGTATTTAGTCTCCAAAATTTAATGTAATTAAACTATCAACCTCTATCATGTATGTATTATAGGAAGCTGCAGAAATTGTCTAAATTTGTTTGACTTTGACACTTAACGATTGACGTTTATCGGTCAAACCACAGAGCAAAGAACACAATTATAATAGATAATAGAGTTACTATACGTTACTTTCTTCTACTCTGCCACCAATAAAGACATTGAATTGAAGGGTTACTCGACAGTGGGTGAAATGAATCTTTGGTCATAAGTTAATTATGGAGTAAACATTTTTGTGGGATTTGTGAGAATCTTTCAGCATGTTGGTAAAGAGGAATAAGAACAATTCCACAGGAGGAAACTAACAAGAATTGTGAAACAAATTGCCTCAAAAATCCGATTATGTCACGATTATTGTTAGTTTTTTTATAGTACTTGTAGTTTCAAGAGCCGTTTTATAAGTAGCCCAAAAGGTCACAAGGATAACACACTGTAATGAAGGAGTTTTATTAAAAACTCTTATTTTGGACTAGATTTGGGTAAAGTTAGGTACTCATATAGCAACACTAGATATGTGTACGACTAGTGATTACGCTATTTTGTAACTTTAATTTCGTAATTACGTTAGCTCTCATCGTCCTTCGGTCTTTGACGAAATATGTTTCGACTCTTAGTAATTGTGGAAACTAAACCACGGTCTCAGTTTTCCTAATATTATGAACGTATTTATGAAATTTTATCATCTATGTCCTACTTCAATCTGGGAATTGTCAAAAGTAGTGACGGATATTGTGGACAAGTTTTTATCTAAATTAGAATACATATATCCTAATTTTAGTGCACATACTGAATAGTAAATAAACAGGCAATATGTTGGAACAGCTGGTAAGTGATTATGCTTCTTATTTGAAGTTAGATGTGTCCAGTGGATTTCAAACAGTACAAGATGTTATTGATAACATGCTAACAAGACTCGAAGAATTAACCAGCGTTTTAAACATGGTGAAGTTGAAAAACAGTGACTGCAGAAAAGCTGTTTCCGATGATATACACAAATATCGCAGTGAGGTGTACACACTTTCAAAAAAAATCCTTGCATTAAATGAGATTATAATAAAATTACAGAACAATGTAGACCTAATTGAAAAACGAGTTGAAAAAGCCGAAGTTGATTTTGGTATCTATACCGATAACAAGATACTAAGTTTATTGAAACCATTTTTGAAGAAAAGTAAAGATACAATATCACACTCGGATGTAACAAAAACAGCACCACCTAAACTACAATTACATAGTGTAATGGACAATTTTGACTCCAATTCTTCATGTTCATGATATCGATTTGTATATATATTAATAAATAACAATTAAAATATGCTATAATTTGTAACATAAATAAATTGTAAAAATCGAATTAAAAAACTTTATTATATCTTTTGTTTCATTTCTACAAAGATTTCGAAAACTAAAAATACAACATTAAAAGAATAAAGATGACAGGAAATTTAGAAAATAATTATTACATATTAGTTCTAAATTTGTACTCTCTACTGCATTGTAAAAAACATAGTATGCTTCAAATTTATCTAATGACTGAAACAATGACTGCGTTGAACAGTATTTAAGGGTACTTACATAAAGAAACAAAGGAAAGACAAAAAATAATTAGCAAGATCATAACATTAACTTATACAGGATATTCACTAAAATAAACATATATTTTATACCTATATGTAAAAAAAAAAACTAGGTTCCTAATTGATAACAAATGGTTCTGTGCTTATGAAATGTATTATGTACACTAAGTTATTTAAATGATAGAACTGAATTTGTACAAAGATTTCAGTTAAACAGCAAAACCAACTTTTACATAAGCAACACTTATAGTCAATGAGATTTCAATTTTAGGTACATGAAATTATATCTTTGAAATAGCCCTAATGGTTTGTAATTGCTGCATAGGAATTATGATTAGCACATCAAGTACAATTTTTTAAGAGAATTGAATGGATATTATTATAATCACAGGCTGATTATCCTATACCTACATTTTAAATGCTTTTTAATTATATATCCACAGGACACTCCATTTATGACTGCACATTCTATGACAAAAAATTTATCAGATATATAAATATTGTTAACATGAGCAAAATTACATGAATCATGAATAGTAGTTATTTAAGCAATAAAGACAATTTTTATTGAGTACCAGTAGATCCAAAACCACCTTCCCCTCTTTTTGTTTCTGTTAAACCTTTTACTTCTACTACAGTTGGATAAAATATTTTTTCACAGATAAGTTGTGCAATTCTATCACCCTTCTTCACATGAAAATCTTCATCTGAATGATTAAATAAGATGACACCAATGTTCCCACGGTAATCCTCATCAATGACACCAGCTGCAAGAAAACAGATACATTTTTAAGAAGTAATGTTAATAATATTCATTAAAACATTAGAACATAGAGGACATTTTAAAATGGCCTCTAAAGTATTATAAAATCTATAATTTTAGATTATGTTCAACAAATTATTTTGGATTACTTAGAGCAATATTATATTACTACATAAATTAGTTATTACTAGTTGTTCTCACGACTTCGTCCGCGTGGAATTAAACTTTATTTTTTCTAAAATAAAAGTAGCGTAAATTACTCATTACATCAGCTACCTGCCAATGAAAGTCCCGTCAAAATCGGTCCAGGCATTTCAGAGATTAGCCGGAACAAACAGACTGATAGACAAAAATGTTATTTTGGTGTATTTGCCGTATTTATATTAATATGCACGTAGTAAACGGTTATTTAATCAATATTACAAACAGACAGTTCGATTTTATTTATATGTATAGATTGGACTACATTTTTTACCACCAGTTTGTGGATGAAACAATTAAGCATTGGAGAATAATACTTATTTATTATGTTAGGTATATATTTAAGGGACTTAACAATGACATAATGAAAATTATAAGATGACTCAAGTGATAGTGGACTGAACATACGATGAGGAGCAACAAAGCACATGGACCATATTAGTGATGGACTGATATTCAGAAGAGGAAGACAGAAAAAACTTTGTAAATATGATATGAAAAGAACAGCAGAAAATTATGGTACAGAATAAGAAAATATATAAAAAATGGAAATCTCAAAGGACAAGCTTGTAATAAACACAAAAAATGTGCAATATAGCAGGTAATATAACTAACCCAGCAACAGAGGCTTTATTATCGTTGGTATCATTGACGATCAGATGGTGTCTCGCAGACGTGATGGGACACAGAAAAGTCTGCATGATATAATAACGTAGCTGAAAAAGACCGACCCTGACGACGTCCGAGTTTTGGTACCAAAGGATTTAAGTAGTTCCTCGGCTCATATTCGATCACGACGACGTAACCAACCTACTCAAGAAAATAAGTAGTGTTGCGCAAGGAAGTGACCAGTTTGCGCGAAGGAAGCCAAGCCGCGATGCGTCCGTGGCGATTCTTAAGTCAAGCGATTTCGTCGTTGACACTGACATCAACTGAAACCATTTTTTGTATTTGAAACAATACTTCAAATATAGCTTACTATTAAAATTTCAGCTACAAATACAGAAAATCAATAAAGTATAGAGCCAAAGCCTCTTAAGGTGGTTGTAAAGGGAAAGAAGTTTTATTTTACATTGCCTCCATGTTTTATTAAAATTACTATTTTTCCCCATCAAATGTAAAATAAAATGAATATATAACCATACATTAAAAGCAAAAATCCAATTTCAATGCATAAACTGTAAAAAAAACATGTCTTGCTTAAGGCTGGAACACAAATTTTTTAGTTAAAAAAATAGTATAATATCTCAGGACAAATCACACAACACCATCTAGTCCCAAGAAAAGCAGAGCTTGTTATATGCAATAGTACCTTATTGGTCTACATGAAGATATTTCAGTGTAGAGTTTTCCCGTTTAAGAACCATATTTATGGTAGACACTTTCCACAGTTGGGGAAAATATTGCAGTCTCAGTATTATTAACAGAACTGTTATGTGAATCATTCCTTTTTTAGGAAACTGTCCAGTACTTCATCTGCCATTAAATTGAAGCCCAGTGCCTTATTATATTTTAGCGGGTTTTGATTTTAGGAGTAAGGACATTTGTTGATCACTGTTAAGTATTTTATTAATTTCTGCTTCTGTATGCATATCATCTGATTCATTTGGTATAAGTACATATTTGAGATATGCAAATAAATGAACTTTATCACTTATTTTTTAAGTGGAGGTATAAGTTCTTTCAGTGTCTTTAAAAATAAGGTTATTTTCCAAAGTCTATATATAGTTATCTGCTAATAATATAATAATAGAATAGTGTCATCAATTTATCTTGGATTGTGTTATTTTCGTATTCTCTTAATATTATTTTTAATACATGGATATATCCGCAATCAGCCTCTCATCTGGGATGTTGTGCATGTAGTGTCTATACTGTGTGTGGAATCGAACCCACAACCATCGGATAGTAAAGTGGCATGCCACTAGACCACCGAGGTTGCCAACTAGTATCGTCCAAATCAAATTTGTCAGCTCATTAATTGATAATGAATGTTATGTTCAAGAAATTTCACCCAATAAAAACAGAGATAGAGTAGCCTAGCATTTTCTTTCAAAATAAATTCTTTCTATACCTTCATAAGTCTACAACTAGAGTTTCTCATAAAACAGTTCATGAACAGGTTGTGATTGGTAAACTGGCTATTTAATTCTATAGTAATAAGCTATTCATTTTCAACATATTTTTCAAGTTTGCATATTTACCATTGCAATTAAACATTTACTATAACCTAGGTGTCTCTTGCTCGTTTGTTGTTTGTTGCCTTGTGATCTAATTTAATCTCAAATCAAAGTTCATTATGATTCTTTTAGACAGGTATGGAAAGATAACCACCAGACAAATAGTGTGACACATGTGTTTCTAATATGAGTAAGGTAGTATAGATTTAAGTAATAACACCATTACTAAGACTTTCAATGCTTACCACCAACATCAATACAATTTTTCAATGCTAAACCAGAACGAGGAGCCACACGACCATAACAACCAGGTGGAAGTTCAATTTGTAAATCAGTCTTCACTAATGCTTTCCCGCGAGCAGGAACGATGCAATCATAGGCACTGCAAATAATAGAATTTATGAATAAAAAAAGTAATAATGGCAACTTATAAATAACTACAAGGATTTGTTCATACCTTTTCATGTCCAGGCCAGCCGCTTTTTCAGATCCTTTTGTTGGTGTGAAAGCGTTGTTACTAATTCGGGAGAATTTTAACGTAGGTCGACTTTCGAAAAGAGTCATTTTGAATATTTGTGCTAAACGATTAACAAACTGAGAAACCAGGTTTAAAACTTAAAGTATTTAAATTAAGTAGTAGTTGGAGATATTCGGAGAAAAATCAGAATGACCATCAATTGTCAAACTGTAATCAAGTGAATTGGCGCGAAGAGAGACAAGAGTCAGTAAAATTGGCGGTAATCAGGGTTACCAACCTTTGTAATTGGATATTTGACAGTTGTAGAAATCTATATATATAAAAGAAAGTCGTGTTAGTTACTCCACTTATAAATCAAGAACGGCTGAACCGATTTAGCTCAAAAAAAAACAAAAAAAAATCCTTTTTTTGAAAATTTGATAATTGTAAGGGGTTTTAAATAAGTCAACAAAAATTATAAAATATATTTCAGAAAATTGTCAAGTTCAATCAAGCCAATTCCAGTTTGCCTTATAAAGCGTTACCTTTGTACTTTTTTTTTAAATCTATCGCAATCCTTATGGCGTCAACCTAATTTCTTATTTTGGCTTGGCAACTGTATTAAACATACCGGATAAAATTTATTATATTGTGGGGTAAAAATTAACAATAATTCATATGGCTTATATCAAGCACCTGTATGGATCCTCTAGGGACGTGCCGCCGCGCCGTGGCAGAACTTTTCAATTATTGTTGTCGTAGTTACTTTGTTACTGAAGTTCACAGATCGTTGTTTTTTGGTATTTTTTTCCTATTCAATTACCCGAAAAAAATATATATAAAAATCCGGACGTAGTACTATTGAATGAGTAAGTATTAATTAGTCCTACCCAGTTAGTATACAAATGCACTCTGTGTTATTCATTGTATCTAATAAGTTTGTAAGTGTGTAAACTAATAAGTTACGTTTGTTATAGTTACTTTTGATACATCTTATCGTTATATCGTTACGATAAAGCGATTAACCCTCAGATGTTTATTAATCAATTCTGCATGTTTTTGTGCAAGAATTCATATATCGCCAGCCGGACTAGAGAATTAGAAGATATTATATTAAATAGCGAAACCTAACTAAATTACCTACTTAAAATAAATTGATTAGAAATTGAAAAAGATTGCCAATATTTTGCTCACCCTATATATAATCCGAATATTAGAATTTATACAAGCATATTAAATTACATCATAATTATGCTATTAACTGAAAACTTCTAGCAAAGCAAGCTGGACGGAAGTAGTGGTAGGTAGAGAGGGTAAAGAAAGGGACATTTTAAGTCGTTACGATACTGTGATACGGTCGCACTTGCGCAAACCAAACATAAAAGGAATGCACACTTATTTAGATTATTTCTTCCACAGTTCTTGTTTGTTTTAGCCAATATATTTGTGTTATTCCATGTAGAAAAACTCCACAACCCCCAGCTTCTTTCTCTCCCGCCTCTCTCACCTTAGGATGCAATCTCTAATTTGGTATCACAGAAATTGATAATGGTACGGTTGATAATCCTATCAACCGTACCATTATCAATACCGCCCATAGCAATAGATACATAAAAGTCTACAGACCGTCTGGATACTCATTTTAGCCTTAAAATTGCTTCAGACATGTAGAAAAATACGTTTTAAAGCCAGACCACTCTGGTATGGTATACTTAAGTACCTTATTAAACCAACTATTTTTTTTAAACAGCACAATATTATAAAAATATGTATCTATGTATGTAATAACCCTATATTTAGTAAGCACTACACTTTATATTTTTTTTATTGAAGCGTTTTAAATAAAAACGACATATAATTTCTGAGTTACCTATAAAAATAATCCGATCGTGTTACACTATTTAAGAATCGCTAAAAGCTGGCTATAGGTAACGTCAAATTTGTCTCTGAGATAAAATTAATCATAACATGATCTTTATGCTGGATCAAGTTATAACGACTTTAAACTTATCTCAATACTGTAATTTCTATTGTCGCCAAAACTGCTATTTTTAATTAGTAACAATCTAATATTGACATGTACAATGTCTCATTAGGGAACACGTTTAATAGGTTCAGCTACATACATCAAAGAGATTGTTATGGATGGATGGTAATAGTGCACCCGTTAGCACTAATGCTACACGCGGACACCAGTAGAGTATGTGTTAAGTAGGGGAAAGGAATCTGGTCAATAAGAAAATTGTGATGAATTCCCTAGTAACGATGGTTTCGAACAACGCGGAGATCGCGTGGATGTCGACCTCGCAATGTACCTTATATGTACCAAATGTAGGTACTTTGTAGACCTGACACAGTACATTGGAAGCCATAGTCTTACCTGCCGCCTTTCTTCAATGAGTAATTTGTAATGAGATAGATCATGCATAGAGTAAGTCGGATTTCGCATATTTAAAATTCTGTCCATCTAGATAGAACACCCACGATATTTCCCGGTCAAATCTTTATTAAGTTCATTGCTCGACAATAGCATAAAAGTTTATTTTTTTAAACGGAAAACGAAATTTTAAAAAAGTACCTAACGAGAATCGAACTCGCAAACATCTAAAACAAATTAGCTAATGAGCGCAATGGGTGTATAATATATATTCTTGGCAGAAAATTGAAAATATTGACCGAGAAATATCTTCCAATAGGTGTAATAATGTTGTTTTCCGATTTTCAATATTTGAAGATTCGTTTTACCACCAACATTAGATATTTTACGAGTGTGTGAATCCGTTTCTATCATTCCTTATAGCAATGATAGAAACGGATTCAAATATTTGGCTACAATAGATGGCCATAGATCGCCGAGATTACAGTTCATTGTCTATTTTTTTGTTATATTGACTCCAGAAATTTAAACAACTAAAACAATGTCCTTTGAACAAATCAACATGTTTTGAATGCCTATCCTGAAGTTGTGCTGATTGTATCAACATCTATAAAGTTAATTGGATTGGATAAATTTATAGATTGGATTGATTGGATCAATATATTTATTTTTGCAAAATTATAAATTATAAAGAAAATTTTGTCAAATTTCGTATATGTACATTTATAAAAATTTTCATAATAAACTTAATACTTACTATGTGGGTTCAAGTATTTTTTTCATACTCATCTTTTTTAGTCAGCGACCCAAGAAACACAAAAAATATCTACCTGCTTTATAGGAGGGTCTCTTTAAAATTAGTCACATAGGATAGTAAACGACTTAAAGCGGCTGATCTGCAGCGATAATCCTCCTTCCGAACGAAAGTGAAGATCATTGAAAAATACCCACAGACCGAGGTAGTCGTGTCGATCAATATTTTGTTAAAAGTTCCAAAGAAGTTTACGTTTTAATTATACCGTTTAATATGAAATCGCGCACGCAAGTTCAATTTAATAAGCTATTTTTTAACCTGTGGTTTCATAGTTATTCCTAAAAAATAATACAAAGCAAAAGAGAGGTGAGTGGATGACGACTGTGATTCATTCGGGTGAGCCCCCAAAAGGGGAGTTTGTCCATTTTTATATTTACATCGTGTCCCTCGCGGCATGCGCGGCGCCTCAGTCTTGCTACTACAGTTTCACGCACGAACATCAGTGCAATGAATGTGATGTAAATAATACTCCTACCATAATATTTACACACGGATTGTTATTTTTAAAACGTCAACCAATTATTTAAGTAAAGTGCTTAAGAATTTGAAGAAGAAATTGTGTGTTTTAAGTCATAAACGGATATTAAATAAATTGTGAGTCGAAATTGCTTTGCTTGACTTCGATCCGAGACCGAGGAAATGCCGCCCGTTCAGTGCCTACATAATTCAGGAAGCGTTTCAGCAAGGAACTTTTTGTTCCTATAACTTACACTAGAGGTCAGTATCGATCAAAGAAAATTACGATTACGATGAAGTAAATTAATAATTATACTTATTACTGTATGTATTGCCGACTGTAACCTATAATCTGACAATAACTTTGTGTTATAGCTATGAGCGTATAGTTAGGGTTCAAGCACCGAACACTCTTCCCTAGCAAGCATCCCTTCTCCGCCCCTTACGCATGATCGACCGAGAGTTTTGGGGTGCGTTTCATTATGTAGATAGGGTGCGGGCAGGACTGAGCTGATGTATATAAAGTGTTTACATATATGAGTATTGCACGTAGAGTAAACTACTGTAGCTCGCGTAACCGTTGCGTTGTGTCGGTAGTTAATAACTACATAAATTCGGAATTTATTATCTACATGCATAGAATCACACCTTTTGTATGTAAACTAGCCTATCCACGAATAATAAATTAAATATAATTTTAAAATTTTGTAAATAAATAAACAACTAATTTCCGATGTTATAATAAGTACCAATACCTATTCATAATAATATATCCAATAGGAATAAATTTTGGTTAACTAGGTACCTTCTATAATAAACAACATTAATTTATATATTTATTTATATTAGCGTTACAAATAAATATTTTTAATTATAAATGCTAACTTGATTATATTTCTGTGACTCACTATTAAATACACTCGATTATATATTTTTGTTTATCAGGAAGAAAGATGTTGAAGTTCGCAATCATGTTTCGAATTTGAATATATGATACACAAATAGATCATAACCTAGTTACAGATGTAGCTACTGATAGATAACAAATGCCCTAAATGCAAAACTTTTTATGCGCTACTCAATGATCGGATAAATTTTGGTCAAAGTATCACAAATCGCTAAGAAGTAATCTTATAGGTAGGTATATGATCTATTTGTGTGTTACATTTTATTCGAATCAATTCAGTAATTTTTCCATTATAGAGTAACGAATATCAACCAATCTTCACAATCTTATCATAACTTTATAGTATATTTAAATATTGTATATTTTCATGTTATTTACCATAAAATATGTTAGTTGATATTAAAAGTAATAAAATAAATTAGTAACCGATTTTGTCATCAATACCGGTTTCATTAGAAACTAGACAATATGTTTCAATCTGTATATAATATGCACAGTTAAATATTCGTGATCGCGCAAAGATCAATTTTTATTGATAGACAAGAGAAACCAACTGAGTGAAGCGTCTATAGATAGATTAGAGCGAGTAAAGTTAATGTGAGGCAAAGATGTAGCGTAGCGAGCGACTTGTTTGTTTTCATACCGGTCCGAATTAAACGTCGCGATTGGTTTAAAATCCATAACTGGCCTCCGAGAGCCAGGTGTCGTTCACACCGCGGCCTCGCGCCTCGTCTCGTTAATCACTCGTGTTCTGTTCGCTATTGTTGAACTGCGCCGTCCGTACAGCCATCTTTGTCAAATTACGTACTATTCAATTACAATAATTTGGTTTGTTTGTGGTAATCAAATGGAACAAAACGCAGGGACTAGTGCTACCAACCAACGCGTCGTTTGGCAGGATCGTGTACAATTTTACATTCTCTTTTGTTTCATTATTACCGACCGACGCTTCGTTTAATGGAAGCGTTACGACTTCTAAACGGCGTTAACATAACCAGGCGACCATTAAAATGATGGATGATGTTGTCATTTGCAAAAAGTGTGCGAAGTGATAGTTTTAGTAAATAATGTGAAAAGTGTTATTAATATTTAAGTATCTGCGTGTGTATATGATGAAAACTGCGTTGTAATTTAGCTTTACACATTGCATTTACGAGTGAAATGGCGTTGCGGAGCGCGCGGGCCGGAGCATGCGCGCCAGTTTCCTTACAATCGCTGGGAACGCACTAAATGTCCTTCGTTTACGTGCACATCAAAATGGGAAGGTCGAGATTCCCTGGAAAACCGCTCAAATTCCAGAACAGAAAGCGTATTAGTGTTTTATCGGGCGCTGTTTACCATGAGACTACTTCAGAGGGTCATCCGTCCACCCGTGGCGCGACGACCCATGATTTTGCTGGGGATAAAGAGGTAAAGCTTATTTGCTTTCAGTCCCTTTTCATGTCTATAACACAAAGAGTAGCTAACTTGCTGATTTATCATGTTTACGTAATAGAAGAAGCAGTAAGCACATAACATCTTTTGTGCAAAAGCGTTTAGAATCTACGTACGTACGTCCTACAATTGACGTTTAAAATATTTCTCATGTCAACAAATGTGTGAATTATCCTTTAGGACATTCATCTTTAAATTTTCAGCACTAAGTAATTCTGTTATTATTCTGGTATATGGCTATTTGTGTGATTTTATCTCTATTATAATTACTTTTACTTTAGAGTGTGGTTATTTAGAAACTAAAATATGTATTCAGTATTAATAGTCTTTTTTTATAAACATAGAACATGGTTTTGTTCTACACTGCTTTTAATTGTGACCTATAATGTAACAGAAAGTACTTTTTGCAATCTGAAGGCTGCAACTACAACATTTAGTATCTTTAGATTTGTTTCAGGTTATATTGACTCGACTAATATGGACTTTTTAGTTCTACATCTCTAAGATTCCCATTCATTAGTAAAAAGATAAATATTATAATTAAATTTGTGTTTTTGAAACAATTTAATTATATAATTCAGTATTTGTATTGTTACATTACTAATTTCCATTGTTGCATTAATCCTTGAAAAATCAGTCAATCTAACCATTGTGGTGAAGTTTTAACATTTTTTATTGTTATATAAATATTAATTTGATTTATTAATCAAGAATGCATTTATTTGGAAGCTATTTATGTGTGTAGTTTTGTTATATATATATAAGTAAAATACTAGACTGTGTGTCAAGATAGAAGATATTTGATTATTCTTTCTAGTTTAAAACTGCATTCCGATACAGACAAATACAGTTAAGTATTGTAGGCATAATCTACTAGGTTAGGATAATATAATAATATGCTTAAAGTTTAAGACTGCTTCCTAGAACTCACTTTTCAGTTGTGATAGGTTATTTATTTAATAATGAATGTTAAATTGTTGTATTGTTATAAATATAAATTAAGTTATAACTAAGATTTTATTTTTTAAGCCACTCTGTTATATCCAATAGCCGTTCAAACGTTCTGACACAGATCTGTGCCCACAAAATGACTTCTTTTTAACCAATTTTATCCTTATTTAAAACAAAATAAGATTGAGACATGTTAGAAAAAGATACAGTCTCTCTTGACTTTCGATCCCTGCTACAGATGATGGACATTCGAAAGGTTAAACACTTCTTGCTTATTCAGTAAGAATATTTAGTCTGTGCATTATGGAAATATAATCCTTCAGTATAACCTACTACTTACAACTACACTTTTTCTACAAGGCCGTAGGACTGGAGTATTTAAATATATATTATTCTCATGTAATAATACAAGTATTTCCACTCCTTGAATGCAACTACATCTGTCTCTTGTATTACACTCACAAAGAAGTGTTACTTGCAAGGACAGCATGAGTTATTCTTATTATTGATTTCAGTCCAATCCACTTTTGTACTGTTTTGTAACATAATCAATAGTAAATTTAATATATAAATGACAAGTTGAATTAGGCTTTTTCATTGACCACAAAATATGCTGTGAACACATTAGTAATGTATAATTAGTTAAAATTCAGTGTCATACAATCTGAATCAGATTACAGAGTAGACTGGCTGGTTTGATTAGTCTGTTATCATTCTTGTTTTCAATTTCATTAATATAATAGCAGATGCTAATAGTTTGCTGATTGCAGATAGATAAGGGAAAATAATAATAAAGAAAGATGCTAATAGTTAATTCAGGTACTACATATATGTATTAATCTATATCATTTATTATATTTATAGTCTGTATTGAAAAGCTTACACCTGAGTTCTATGTGAGTCATATCTTCCCAGATAAAAGTTTTGATTTGATTTGAGTTTTATGGAATATATTTAATAAACAAATATAATCATTTATATATAATACAAGTTGTCCTGCCAAAAGTTTTGCCAAAAAAAAATTAATAACAATATCTCTATTAAAAATACGAAAGAAAATATCCTAAAAATATTAAAAAATGTTAGGGGTGGACAATCCTTATCACTTAGGGGTATGAAAAATAGATAGTAGCTGATTCTCAGATCTACTGAATATGCATATATCATATAATTTCATAAAAATCTATCAAGTTGTTTCAGAGGAGTATGGCAACTAACATTGTGACACAAGAATTTTATATATAAGATTATTCTGATAAATTGTATTTCCTAGTTATATATTTGCTGGCTGATGGCTGATATAGTATATATTCCTATTACACTTCAGTTACTGAATAACAAATATTTTCCAACATTTATTTCCTATGGAATAATATATGTGTAAATTTATTGTAAATGGAACTGTTAGTATTTAAAGCAATAACTTAATGAAAAGAAATTAATTATTTACAGGAGGAAGAAAAGAAAGAAAGCAATGAAAATGGGACCAGTGAAACCTGTGAAAATGATATAGCTCAAAATACACTTAATCAAACACAAGTTAACCAAGACAAGAACAGTGATTCATCAAAGTCCCCAGTGCGCACTAGATCACAAAACAAAATGGATATTACAAAAGATAAACCAAAGCCAGTGAAGAAAACTGTAACATTTGGTACAGTTGAAAGTTGTGAAGATATCTTCTTGCCATTGAAGAAGATTCCTAAACATCATGCACCTCTTGTTCCTATCATAAAGAAAAAATCTGCACTCAAACCAACAGAATATTCCAGCATTCTAAAGCCTGCTAAGCTAACAGACCTAAGTTCTAAATCAACATCAGAGCACCAAGAGGGTTACATGAGGAAGAATCTGAATCCTCTGTCAAAGCCTATGAACAAGTTCACTCAGTTTAGTGAAAGTCGTTGTATGTCACCACCTCCTCGAAATACATCGCCTGTAGACAAAGATAGTGGAAGCTCTGCAAAATTTGTATTACCAGCCAGGAGCAGCCATTCCTCCCGTGTTATTAAACCAAACAAGAGGTTCATTGATGGTGAGGAACAAACAATGTTAACAAGTAGCACCTTATCATCAGGAAAGGTTCTTAAGAAACCTAAATTAAAGAGGTTGGTATTCAATAACGTACTGGATGAGGATGATACGCCAGAAGAAGAGACTAACAAATTCAGTGATAAGGATAAAAATTTATTGAAATCATCAAACTTGTTTAAGGATAAAACAACTAATTCATTCTCTGGCCTCAGTACAAATTCACGAAAGGCAGTGCATGATCTATTTTCATATGAAAAAGAACCTAATTATTCACAAGATGAAAATTCCAATTTAGAAAGTCTAGAGAAACTAAAAACAGTTGAACCTAACAAAGAAGATAGAACTGGGCATGCAATGAGAAAACTAATGGACATTTCTGATGCAAGCAGTTCAAGTAGTACTAGTAGTAGTTCAGAATCAGAGGAAAGTTGGGAAAGTGACAGCCCTGGTGACAGTGGGGAGGAAGAAGAAAAACCTGCCCCACCTAGTCCAGAAAAAGAGAAAACATCAGCTTCCCAGCTTTTGAGAGGTAAAGTCATCATCCGAGAAGCAAGGTTGCAATTGAATCCACCAACTCAATCTACATCTGGTTTAGATGGACCATTTTCCACACTTGCTCCTTTATCATGTAAGTATATAACAAGTAACAATAATGAAACATCATTAAAAGTATTCTATAATATAATACCTTATTATTTTGTGTATAATATGAAAGTGGATGGATGGAAAGGGAGAGAACACCCTAAAAAAGATGGATGGAGGTGTGAAAGATGATATGAATAAACGGTGAATGAATAACTGAGCATACTTAGCTTAGTTACGACGGCCGATAGAGATCAGTGGATGAGAATGACATACTGTGCGAATCCCAAATATTGGGATAAAGGCAAGACAATAATGATTATTTTGTACTGGTATTGTACAAGATAGCAGCTGATGGACTGTCATTATCTCAGCTGGTAGTAATGTTGTGTGTAAACCATGTTTAATTAAACTATTAAAACCTACCGAATTATCATAAACATATGTGTAGGCAACTTGTTGTTCTGACGAGTCAGGATCATGTGGATGAATCCAATGGTTAAATCTAGTTAATGATAATTTATTTTCCGAGACAAAATTACAATTGATATATGTTTAAGGATCGTTTAAAAGTACAGCTAATGTTTATTTTAATTTATTACGGCGTCGGTGTTGTAGCGGTTTAGCCACACAATCTAATGGTTGCGGGTTCAATTTCGTACAGTATAAACATTTGTATTCATCATCATCATGAGTATGATTGTTTGCACTCATGCCTAAATGAAATATCTCCTTGGGAATCTTGCACTATATCCTGAAGAGATAAAAACGATTGCTCCTACAAGAATATTTTTTAATTCTTGTCCCTGACAGGTACAGGTACAGGTAGGTAGCAAATTATAAAAACGGGCAAGCACAATAGATTTATGTAGGTTGCAGTGCTACTGGTGTAAGAACGCGACAAAAGCCAAAAGCCCCCAATATTAAAAAATATTATATTAAGTATAATATTTTTTAATATTTTATAATATTATTAATAAATATTAAGTATATATTTACAAAAAATATATATCTATATATTTGTAACAGTTATTTAGTACCCATAACATAAACTCTGCTCAGCTTGGGACTTGCACTATATCCTGAAGAGATAAAAACGATTGCTCCTCCAAGAATATTCTTTAATTCTTGTCCTTGACAGGTCTAGGTAGCAAATTCTGAAAACGGACGAGCATAATAGATTTATGTAGGTTGCAGTGCTACTGGTGTAAGAACGTGACAAAAGCCAAAAGCCCCCAATATTAAAAAACATTATATTAAGTATAATATTTTTTAATAATATAATATTTTATAATAAATATTAAGTATATATTTACAAAAAATATATACCTATATATTTGTAACAGTTATTTAGTACCCATAACATAAACTCTGCTCAGCTTGGGACTAGATGGCGTTGTGTGAATTGTCCTGAAATATTATGATTATTATTTCAGCTACAAATCCACCAACCACTGTTACTTGTGGTGTCTGTGGGGCAGTGCGCTTTTATAGATTTGTTAAGCAAACCAGAAAGTTTGGAATTTATTCCTGTGAATCTTGTCGTAAATTTATTTCAAAAATGATAAAGAAGGAAAAGATATCTCAAAGGACAGGTCCTGTGGTTATGCAGTGTTTGAAAGGAGAAGGTTAGTTTTATTGTTTATTATGAGTTTGATCATAATTATATATATATGTATATATAAATATATGTATATATAAATATATATTTATATACAAATATATATAAATATTAATGTTATGTCATATATAAGAACAATAAATCTATGATTTTCTTGCAGGTAATTGTCATGTACCTCCTATAGTCCGATCACAACAATGGAAACTATTACGGTGTACAAATAAAACTAGATGTCCAGCTTGCTGGCTCAAGATGTGTCTTAAGGCCTTCCAAGTACCACCAATGATGAAAGCTGGTCTAACTGCTATGTTGCCTCCCTATATGAAAACTGGAGTGAAACCTATAGTATCACCTCTAACACAAGTCAACCCATTGAGAATAAGTCAATCGGCTAATAATACTTCAACAATGCAATCAGTCTTTACACCCAGTAATGAAAGTGAAATGCTTTTCGGACCACTTAAAACAATAAAGAAATCAAATGAAGAAGCTGATAAAGTCATCGAAAAGGAGGTACGTATTATTGTAAATTCATGCTGTTCCTAAAGTTGTACAGTATAGACATTATACGGTGAATTTTTTAAGAATATTGTAATATATTAATTTTTAATCTCAAATGTCTTCAGGAAAAGCCGCAAAAAGATAATCCGGAAAAAGATCATGGAGAAGAATTTGTTGCGTCTAAAAAACGTCGTTTAACAAGAGTCAAAGTGCGAAAGAAAGATAAAAATGAATCTACGCAAACTGAGGATCCGAAACGACAGAAAGTAGAACTAAAAGGACCAAGAGTTAAACATGTATGTCGTAGTGCATCCATAGTGCTAGGACAACCTATTGCAACATTCCCAACACAAGAAGAAAAAGAGAAACAAGAGAAAATATTGGCAATAACTGATGATGAGAATATCTCAAATCCTGTTCCAGATAAAGAGATTCCTATGCCTGACTTATCAACTGATGAATCTGAAGGAGATTCTGAAAATAAATTACCTCCCATTGTACCTGCAATAGATTCAGAAATACCTAGTACAAGAAATACAGATACAGAAATGCAGATTGAGACGAAGAAGAGGAAATTAGAAACATTGGTTTCTGTTAAATCACAGAAAGCTGAGTCTAGCGAAGATGAGACTGTTATGGATCTAGTGCCTAAGAAATTGATCATGAAACCTTTAATGAATATTACAAATGTTAGTAAATATATGTTTACTTTTGTTTTTATATGATTATAGTAAAAAGTTTATCAAGTTCATGATCTTAAATTAATAAATTGTGCCTTAAATGATTTTAACGTAAAACAAATTCGAATGTAATTGAATTCGTGAGTTTCAATTTAAAATTATTCATACATAATTTTTTTTATGTAGATGCGAAACCGATCACAGAAATGCGGACAGAATCGCCCAGAATTGATCTGTGTTGACTTCTGGGAGAGTTATGATCCTGATGAAGTGTGCAGTTCAGGTTTTGGTCTGATTGGAACAACATCTTTTACGGTTGCCAGAATTTGTTTCCTATGTGGAAGTGCTGGAAGAGAAAAGGTAAATAATTACTTGAAGTCAATATATTAATATTACTCATTACTCTCTGCATACCCTTAGAACGTATGTCGAGAGTAATAAGGCAGAATAGGTTATTATATTTAGACAGTTATACTGCCTCTTATTAAATAGGATGGATTTGGATGTCATAGTTTGCGAGGTTGTCATAGTTTATATGTTGGATACAAAGCCATAGCTGTTATCTTTTTCTAATTATGTACTGTTTGAGAGTTGTTGGACAAAAAAATCCTGAACACAATATTTTGATTTTGTGACTATAATTAATATTTTATGAAATCGTTAGACTTCTCGTATGACACAACCGATTATATTGTTGGTAGGTGCTAGAATTTTTAGCAGATAAATATAGAAGCGTTCGTTCGCCTACGCTGACAATATAGACTGATGGGATAAGCAGACAATGAAAGGATGAAAGGTTGATTGATCCATGCTGGTTAATTTCCCAGAAATTAACAACTTTTTTCCACGTTTCTCACGGCTAATCACAGCAACCTGATGCACTGCTAACAATGGGACTTCCAGATCTAATTTTTTTCTATGAATGATGATGAAATGGTGATTTCGCATGTACTAAGGATTTATAACGAATACTTTTTAGCAGATGGTGGTGTGCTGGTCCTGCTGCGAGTGGTACCATCGGTGGTGCGGGGAGGCCGGCGAGGCGGGTACGGGCGCGTGGAGCTGCGCACGCTGCGCCAGCTGCGCCGCGTGCTCGCGGGCCGCCGCGCGCCTCCGCTGCCGCTCGTGCCTCGCGCCGCACCACGCCGCCTGCTTGCCGCGCCGCACGCTGCCCGACCGCGCCGACCGCAGCGATTGGCCCCAGGTAACGACCCCTCCACACGGACACCCCGCGCCAGCTGCGCCGCGTGCTCGCGGGCCGCCGCGCGCCTCCGCTGCCGCTCGTGCCTCGCGCCGCACCACGCCGCCTGCTTGCCGCGCCGCACGCTGCCCGACCGCGCCGACCGCAGCGATTGGCCCCAGGTAACGACCCCTACACACGGACACCCCGCGCCAGTTGCGCCGCGTGCTCGCGGGCCGCCGCGCGCCTCCGCTGCCGCTCGTGCCTCGCGCCGCACCACGCCGCCTGCTTGCCGCGCCGCACGCTGCCCGACCGCGCCGACCGCAGCGATTGGCCCCAGGTAACGACCCCTACACACGGACACCCCGCGCCAGCTGCGCCGCGTGCTCGCGGGCCGCCGCGCGCCTCCGCTGCCGCTCGTGCCTCGCGCCGCACCACGCCGCCTGCTTGCCGCGCCGCACGCTGCCCGACCGCGCCGACCGCAGCGATTGGCCCCAGGTAACGACCCAGGTAACGCACCACGCCGCTCATAGTGGGAACTTTGACTCATTTTCTTCTCATAAATCTACAACTTCCGTATTAATAAAGATATGTCCGTGATTTTTTTTTCCTGATATATGCTTTTAAATGTATGTTTTGTGAGTAATAAAATATTTCTAATATTTATAAATAATATAGGAATACAAGAAATATACTACATTTATGTCCTAAGTTTATACAGGAATAAGTAAAAGTATCTGCGTAAAAAACAAAAACTCTTATAAAGATACATTACAAGTCACTCAAGAGCTCTTTTCCTTCATCAAAAAGTTCTAAGAATTCTCGAATCTATGGGTCAGAGGTATATAAAAATGGACATCTTCGTTAGGGGCTACCCTCGAACATTGTCTTGCATGATGGAACCTGAACTGTTTATACTCTTTGTTCCCTGACTAAAGCAAGACAGAAAAGTGACGTATCACACGTTCACTATGAATCAACACCTTGTGTACGGAAGATGGCATATAGCATTTATATTTATTAACACACAGCTGTGCTGTATCGAATGCATACTGACCAAATTTCAATGGCATCAATACCTCTACCGCTTGACATAACCTGAAGTATAATATAAAACTGTTTTATTAATTCCTCATCTATACCAGTGATTTCTGATGTACAATGATAATTTTGGAATAATCTTCTGGCTGTATCGCCGTCATTAGTGTTGCCACTAACTTGCTTCGGTTTATCTATATTTAATCCAAGTTCTTCTCTGAATTTTCTTTGTACATAAGCCTTCTTTCGCTTTTTTAAATCTTTATTTTTTGTTGTTGTCGCAGATCATTTTTCAAAACTTAGATTGTAAGATAAATGTAAAATAAGTTCCATGAATCTGATCCAACAATACAAAGTTGAAAGGCCATTTTCATAGGAAGTTTCATCGACAGGTTTGTTTTGTATTTTTTCTAAATTGTTCATCTCTGTAGGTTTTGCACCGCAATCGGTACATACATGTAATTTCTGCTTTACGTCAGTAATTTCTATACATGATTATGGCGGATAGCACGATTCTTTAGCTTCACGAATCAACCTGTATGATGGAAACAATAAGCAATTCTTTGCTATCAAACAACTCCTCATATTTTCTTACTGTGCTTTGTTCAGATCCATTTCTATGAAAATGCTAAGAGCTTCATGTTTTGAACATGCTGTTATATGTCCCGGTTCATTAAGAAGATTACTGCGCATTTCACTCTTTTTTTCTGCCGGCAATGCTCGTAAAATATTAACGATGAATGCTTCATCTACTTCACCACGTGACCTTAAACGTACGTACAGGACGTATGAGTTCAGTATGAAATCAAGTCCACAGGTATCAAGCGATCCCTTGTTTTTCCGTTTACTTGTACTCTGAACAGTCTTCGTACGTTTTAGAAGGTCTTCCTCTTTTCCCTGTCGAAGTAGAAGGTTAAGGTTCGCATGTAGTTTTTTCTAGATTTACAGTGAAAATGCCACCAAGGCAATTGCTATTTTGATTTAAAACTGTTCTTTCTTTCGGATAGCGTTGACGAAACTGAGTTATGAAGGTCTTCTGGATACTTGCGATAATTTTTGCTATATTCGCATCTGAAGATTCGGTAAAATTATTTTGTATATAGTTTGAGAGAGAATCAACATAATTTGTATCACTTTCAATCAATAAGAGACTTAAGTCGCGTCTGGTACACGAGAATTCACTCATTGCGGAGGGATAAGTAATTAACAATTTTTTGATGTGTTACAAATGCTTTGAATACGAAGAACTGTAATATTTCATATGCAAATGCACTATTTTATACTTAATAATGATAATAGACGTGTGCAAGATTACTTGATAAAAATTATTTATCATTATGCGGTTATGCAGTATAGAATAGATCTGTATGACAATTGGAACTAAATACTGTGTGAAATACTTGATAAAACTAACTCAAAAGATAAAATTTAAAATAATAATTGGGCCAAAAGAATTTTTTTGAGTGTCCAGATAGAAATCTCAAATAAAAGAAAAAAATTTAATATAGTACTTAGAAAAAAAATCTCACCATGATTATTACGCAATGAACTGAAAAAAAAATGTTATGCCATGAAATTACATTATATTTCCTTATAACTAAAACCAAAATTAGAACTTTGGCAACTGTCAAATCTCCAACTGTTAGTTTGAAAAAACAAAATAGTATATATAACGATATATGGTTCCTTGGTTAAAGAATATACTACTAAACTAAATATATTTTTATTTTATAGTAAAGTACACATCCTAAGCATTTTAAAACGGTATCACACCATATGCCTTGATATTGTTTTGACACTATATTTTTTTATACTACTATGGTGGCAATCAAGCATACAGCCCATCTGATGGTAAATGGTTACCGTAGCCTATGAACGCCTGAAACACCAGGGGTATCACTTGCGCGTTGCCGACCCTTAAGAAACCTTAATATACCCTTCTTAAAAAACCCCATGATGTAGTCTCGTGGGAAAACCTCGGCAGGAAGTTCATTCCATAATATAAGTGTACGCGGTAGGAAACTCCTCTGTTCGGGACCACTTAGGTTCCAGTGTGTGGGGATCATCCCCTGATAATTGATAATTCCCTGTCGATGGCGATCGGTGCGGTGGTAAAAGGTGGCTGTCGGCATCATGTCGAACAATTCCTCAGAACACAGTCCGTTGTATAATCGGTAGAACACACAAAGCGAGGCGAAGTCTCGCCTCAAGCTGAGTGGCTCGATACCGCGAGAGAGATTGGGATCATCGACAATTCTCATAGCACGTCTCTGAACCGAGTCAAAAGGACCGAGCTGGTATCCAGGTGCTCCCGCCCAAAGATGAGAGCAGTACTCCGTGTGCGGCCGAACCTGTGACTTATATAAGAGAAGTTTCTGGTCCGCAGTGAAGTACCGCCTCGCTCTATTGAGCACACCGCACACTATAAAATTATACCAAACAAATTTAAATTACATAATTATTTTTGTATTTTTTTCATTCCTTGACTTTACGATGCTCTGTTCTATGAAGTATGAATAGTCAATTTGAATCATATTTATAATGCATATACACGATTTAGATAAAGTATTTATGAGATGGCTTGCTTAGGCGCGTTCACACTGTGCGCCTGCTTGCCGCGCCGCACGCTACCCGACCGTAGGTAACGACGCCTACACGTACACCTTACATGCTGCAGATGCCCGTAAATGCGTTTTTTGAACGTGTAATTTACTATACCTGGTTAATGATCCACCTTACAGTAAGTAGTTACCGTCGCCTATGGACATGAATAGCACCACTGACATCACGTTAACATGTGACACCTGGCGTTGTATTTTAGAATGGTGACCATTCAACTTGCTTTGTACTGTTACATGTCTTTTGTTGAATATACAAAATACCGAAAATTTACCCCATCCTTTTGTTATTTTTCAAAATCAAAAATTATAGAACTGCTTTGTGTGTGCTTAACATATTGTCTACAGGTCTTTTCATAATTCATGCGGATTACTTACAATCCGATAAATTTTGTAGCGGCAGTATTAGTTATAAATTTATTACAGTAAATGCTTTAGTATACAATTGTATTCTTCATAGATTTGCAGCGCCTGTCTAAAATGTAAGAGCTGCGATAGTACTCGCGTGAGCAAGTTTGTTGGAAGTCTACCATTCTGTGGACCCTGCTTCAAGTTACGGCAGAAAGGCAACTACTGTCCGTTGTGTCAAGCTTGTTATAGAGACAATGATTTCGATAGTAAGGTATGATTTCCAATTTTTACTAATTGTTTGTCCAATCTTTTTATATATTGGTATATAGAAGTGTCAGGTTAATGAAATATCTTTTAGTACCTTATTATAACACAATGTCATCCGATTCTTTGGAACCGTTTTTAAAATACATATATGTGTAAATAAAAAAAATTTACCATAGCTACTTTGTCACAATCAATGTTTATTATGATTCTTGTGTAAAGTTAAAAAAATGATATTTGCAATAGTGGACTGGTACAAAAGTAGTAATATGTTTTGTTTGATATTGAACATGTTCTCAAGCAGAATAGTGAGAATTCTCAAGCGATTTCTGCCTATATGAGAATGATTGATTATGTTAATTTGATAGTGCCTTCTAATATAGTATAACATAAACTTCTTTTCAGATGATGGAGTGTGGTTGGTGTGGGAGATGGGTGCATGCCAGCTGTGAAGGTTTGTCTGGTGAGGGCTACCAACTTTTGTCCGCTCTACCACCATCAATTGAGTATATTTGCTGTAAGTGTATGCCTAATGACCCACCATGGAGAAAGATGCTCACTGATCATCTAAAAAGCCGGCTCCTTCATCTCCTTAAACTTTTGGCAAAGAATAAGAAGGCTTGTGCATTATTGAAACTCACACCTCATAAGAATACACCAGTACCAAATAAACCTTATCGTCTAATGTCTCCTCAGGCAATTAGAAAATTACACTTTGATGGTGTAGATGACTCCATGAAACATACAACAGAGACCAAAGTCTATAGAAATACTTCAAGAGGCCGACGAAATAATAATCTTTCACACAAGTTTGATGACCCAAGTACTTCTCAAATATGGCATTGTTCCTCATTGATGAATGATGTGGAAATGGAGAAGGAAGATATACCACATCCTCTGCACAAAGTTGTTAATCTACAGGAGCCTCTCATGCAGAATAAGGAGATTTGTTTCTCCACTGGCCTTTACGACACAAAAACTGAGTTTGATGCACCTTGTGTTGAAGTACACGAGAATTATCCTACCCCTAATAAGATTGAGAAGGCAACAACTATGTTACCAACTACAATACATGATGATAAGTATGAAGCAATATCAGATGATGATGAACCAATGAAAAGTTTTCCTCAGGCCCGTAGTGAGCAGGATTTGAGCCCAGCTCTTGTGAGGCATCCAGGTAGTTTTGATAATACAGTTGACGACATAAACAGAATTGTTTCACCTTCGTTGCTAGATATCAAGAAAAGAGTAAACAATGATGAATATGTATCATTAAAAGAATTCAATCATGATATGAAAGAAGTCATTGAGAGGACAACATGTGCTGATCTTCAAATGATATATAAGGACTTATTCACAGAAACTTTTCCTTGGTTTGATTGTGAAAATAACTGTCTACAACCAAATCTTGAAGTTGAAGGTGAACAGGATGACACTGAGTCTCTAAAAGACCAGGATATTGCTGATAATAGAAATGATAAAGCCTTAGTTTGCGTCGAAAAACCTTTAGATCAAATAGTGCCGAAATTTGAATCTGATGAAGAGAAATTAGAGGAGGAGTTGTTAGAGTTTTATCCTGTAGTGGATTCCAGGATGTGCGTCCTCTGTAAAGGAGTTGGCGATGGTTTGCCATCTATGGAGGGACGCCTTTTATATTGTGGTCAAAATGATTGGATTCATGCTAATTGTGCCCTGTGGTCTGCAGAAGTTTTTGAAGAAATAGATGGCTCCTTGCAAAATGTGCATTCTGCAATATCTAGAGGGAAAATGATAAAATGTGCTGCTTGTGAATTGAAAGGTGCGAGTGTTGGTTGCTGTGCTAAGAACTGCAGTGAAACTTATCACTATGCCTGTGCTAGAAAAGAGAGTTGTGCTTTCATGGATGATAAGAGAGTTTTCTGTCCTGCTCATGGAAAAGAAGTTCCGAAGAAAAGTTTACAAAAAGATGCTGATTTTGAACTAACTAGAGCAGTTTATGTAGAACTGGACAAAAAAAAGAAGAGATATAGTGAAATAAATAAAGTGCAGTTTCTTCTTGGATCTTTGACTGTAAATAGCCTTGGAAAAATAGTACCATCTGTGTCAGATTATGAAGACTTTTTAATGCCTGTGGACTTTTCATGTACACGTCTGTTTTGGTCCTGCAAAAAGCCATCCAAAATAGTGAGATATACCATAAAAACAAAGTTAATACTGGCAGAACCAATGCCAGGATTTGATTTTGGTGTAAATATTACTGTAGACCACACTCTGGATGTTCAAGTAGTTGATAGAGTAATGGCTGAAATAGGAGCATGGCATGATAGTCTAGAGACTGGATCTAGTAAGACAGTCCTAATGCTAAAAAATGATAAATCACCAATTAAATTTGGGAGTACTATGACTCTAGAGGATTTAGCTGTGAAGCAAGTTGTGGAATATTTATTAGACAATGTTTGTAAACAAGAGCAGCAGGATGAAGAGGAGCCGCAAAATACAGCTGATTTATTCCCACCTGAAGTTAAGGATGCTATATTTGAAGACCTTAATCATGATCTACTGGATGGTATATCTATGCAAGACATATTTCAAGATCTTAAAAATGAATTTTACTGTGCTATGAGTCAGTCTGATGATAGAAGCAATGACAAGTCTGATTTCATTGATGAACTACTGAATGCTAGGTTGGAATCTGGAAGCAAAGAATTAAAGAGAAGTAAATCAGAAATGTTGTTGCAAAATCATAATCTCAAAACTTTAACTACTGGCCGTGGTCAACAAAGGTCTAGTAGTCTTACATGGAATAATAAATTTGATACAAGTTTTTTATCATCAACAATAAAAAGATGTAAAATGGGTAAAACTACAACAACAGATAAACTTAGCCCAGTTCAAAGAATAGCATTATTAGAGAATCCTCTAGATACAAATAAGGAGGTAGAGACAACAAATGGGGATAAAAAACTAAAAGGTGAGTCTACTACCGGTACCATTTTATGTGATGAGACACCGCATACATCAGGCATTAATTATCGCACGACTTCGCCAAAGCAAAAGGAAGAAAGTAATAATGATAAGAGTGACAAAACAGAGGGTTATTACACAGATGTTATAGACTTTTATACAAAGATACAGTGCAGCCCCATTTCTCAATTAGATGGAACTGCTGACTGGTCGGGTTCAGAGAGTACATGCAGTTCCCGGCCTTGCAGTCCTCGCGACAATGATTTTTCTCCAATACAACAATTAGATGGTGCTGAAGATAATCACCCAGTAGATAATGGTCATAGAGGTCCAACTAATCAATTTCTTTATAGAGCAAGTGGATCTGAAAGTACTTACACTGTGACTATAGCTGGAAACTCAATAAGTGGCCAACCCGAATTGGTTATGAGAACATTAGATGAAGTATCTGCGGTTAATGGACAGATTGAACAGTTAGTGAGATGCGACAGGTGTCAGTGTACTTATAGAAATAAAGAATCCTATGACAGACATATTCCAAATTGTGATTTAATGTCAACTAGTGAAAGTGAGAGTGAAAATCCCAAGTCACCAGAAAATAGAACATTAACTACTTTACAAAATGCTTTCCAAGGGGCATTTGCTCAGCCAATGATTATACATGCTGGAGTTATGGGTGGTGAGAACAGTGTGAAAGCTGAAAGCATATCAGCCAGAAGAACCTCAATTAACACAAGACAGATTACTATTAATGGTACTATCGTCGAGACACCGTCTCCTGGTCCATCAAATGAGATGACAATGACAATTACAGAACAGATGAAATCTGGAACTGTCATCTTTGATCAAACTAAAACAAATGTCCAAGTGTCAGCAAATCAGCAAATATTGTCGTCACCACAAATTGTTGTTACTCCACAGATGATATTGCCACCTAAGACAAGTTCTGCGGGTGGCCAAAAGATTATGACGTCTCAAATAATTACACAACCAAGCCTACTTCCGTACAATATATGTGTAAAGCCAAATGGCAATGCAAATATACAACAGATACAGGGTGGCGATATGGCACAGTTGCTTTCGGGATCAGGAGGCATACAAGTAATTTCTTCTAATTCAAATCAAGTACTGACAATACCATCGAATCAGACAGGAAGTATAACACCTATAATACAAGGTAAAAATCAAGTGACGAATTTTCCAAACATGGCGAGTGCAACTTCTATTGCATTACCAGTAAATTCTATTCAAGGAATGCCTAATGCCTCTATCATTCCAAATATTCAACCGATGATTCGTCCACAAATCCAGGGAAATCCTACAATTGTTGTTCCCGCGATGACGGCTCAAAGATTGACATCGCCAAATTCCCAAAATAAACAACAAATTATATTGCCAGGAAATAATCAAAAATCGCCTAAAAAACAACCTGCTCCTGTACAACCTAAGCCTATATTTCAAGGTGCTAGCAGAGGTAGAGGGCGCCCTATTCCTAAACCGGCTACTATAAAAAGGCAAACGAAGTTAGAAAAAACATTTACTACTATTAATCAAACACCTCTTGGTCCTGGAAACACTGTCATACAATTACAAACAAATAATCAGACTGGACAACCATCAATAATCGTGCCTGTTGCAAACCAAAACATAATGTCGGCATATGTTGAGGCTTTATCTCAACAACAAAATCAAAATATGCAGTATATTGCCACAATTGCACCTCAAGGAGAGTTTAAAACTGGACCTCCACAGTTTATATCTCAAAGTGGACTTGTACCTCAAACCTTTCAAATACAGCAAACAGAATCAGGTGGATTGGTTGCAGTAGCTAGTGGTGGAATACCAGTGTTAGTGCCTCAAGGCAATGTTGGCATTATACCGCAAACAATACAGCCAGGTACTATTTTGCCTCAAGGTACTATACAGGCACAAGGGATAATTTCTCAAGGTCCTAATGGCCCTACTATTCTACCACAAGCTATCCATACTCAAAATGGTACAACAATAATACCACAGGGAACTATTCAAGGATTAACCCCTGGAAGCATAACATCACAAACTGCAACTTTGTTGCCTAATAACACATTACAGACTGCGGGTGCTACTGTAGTACCACAAAGTGGAATTAGTAATGGACAGACAACTATAATACCTAATGCATTGCCATCCCAAGGTAAAACGTTGATATCCTCCGCCCCTGGGGCGACGATATTGCCCCAAGGAACTCTGTTGCCTCAGTTTTGCAATGATCAAGTTTTACTTGGATCAACTCCTACATTAGAAATGGTTACGGATCCATCTGGTTGTATGTATTTAACAACAACGCAACCTGTATACTATGGCTTGGAAACAATAGTTCAGAATACAGTAATGTCGTCGCAGCAGTTTGTCTCTACGGCTATGCAAGGGGTTCTTGCACAAAATAGTAGCTTCTCAGCTACTACGACCCAAGTTTTCCAAGCTAGTAAAATAGAACCTATTGTAGAAGTGCCTACCGGATATGTAGTAGTGAATAATGTGGGTGATGGTGTGACGCAGGCGGCGTCAACGACACCCAATGTAGTGGCAGCGCAATCGATTCAGTCATCACCACCAACAATAAAAAATGTAAAGACAAGTGTACCTAACCTAACATTGCAACCTCTACCTGATAAATCGTCTAATAATAATCGTCATGTGCCAAAAGTGATTCAGATGAGTTCGACACCAATTGCAGTTGGCTCGCAGTCCATACCAGGCACCATCATAACAGGGCGCCAGAATCTAAACCCGATAACTTCTCAGATACATAGTATGACGTTGTCGAGTACACCACAGAATTTACAGCGAAATAACATATTGAAGCCGACAAACGTGACATTGTCGCCTAATGTAACGCTTGTTTCGTCCATAGGGCAACCTGTCATGGCTATCTCACAATCCGTACCGAATTCAGCGACATCATTTTCTATGCCGTCTATACCCTTATCCCAGCCAATTGTGTCAAGTTCTATTGCACCTTCGTCTAATAAAAACAATATAAAAATTGAAAACCATGTGATTGAAATAAGTGGCAATTTGCACGAAGGTTCTAATGCAAGTAGCATCCCAACTATAAGCGTGACTCAGAGTACAAAAGCTCCGACACCTTGGAGACAGATGCACACACAAGGTAACGTTAATATAGACAAGTTAGATTTACAAAACATGACTGTTAAAACATCTAGTATTAATAGTTGCTCAATGAATATTCCAAACAACTTAACTGGAAGGCAACATTCTCACAATGAATCTGAAAAAAATAACCAAAATTGTTTAATGTCTCTACAGAATAATACTAATTCAATGTCTGGTATGAGTATGCATTCACATCATTATGATTCAAATTTGAATGTAAGTCATCATTCTTCAACTCATTCTTCGTCCAATAATGTAATCCAAATTACTGCAGGCAACATATACCCACCTTCCTCAGTAATGAATAGCAATTTTGATGCTGATACTACATTGAAACTCAGTAAAATTAATGCACTATCGAAAGCAGAAGGCGGCCATTTGAATTTTTCGCAAGAAATTATGGCTTCGCATTCTCATCAACATGCTCAAAATGAAAAAGCCTTTCAAAGTATGGGATCAAATGATAATAAGCATAATACAGATGGTATGAATAATCAAATGAATGTCCATAAATTGAATAGTTGCCAGGTAGTTGGCAATATGAATAATACTCCCGCAATCAGCATAATACCACATAACGTTATGAGGTCGCCAATGCAAAGTAATCAAAATACAATATCACTTTCAAATAATCAAAACCAAATAAGTTCTATATCGAATAGTTCATCACACAGCCAAGTTCAAATATTAAACTCTGGAAACAATTCAATGTCTAATATGAATTTGTCATGTCAAGAATCCACCAGTAATAGAATAAATATGAATGTTCCTGAAAATAGCCATCAACAAACTAATCAACATGACATATCAAATTCTTCACCAAATTCGTCAAATCTACCACACGGTAATATGCAAATAATATCACATAACAGCAATCAATTATCAACACCTAACCAGATTCATATAATGAATGGTCAAATTCAGCATAGTAGATCAGACAATGGTAATCAACTTCAACAAATAAATCAAAGCTCAAATAGATCTTTCCATGATAATGTTATTGGAAGTCAATCCAATATGCATTCTAACCGTAGTACACCAGATAATAACAATCTGATGAGCCAATCAATGAATATGCATGGTTTAGGAAATAGTCACAATATAAATCGAAACGATCTCAATGATTTGAACCATATGCATATGCAGCAACCCATGTCTAACATGAATAATATGCAAAATAACCGCATAATGATGGAGAATATGCCATCCCATAACATGAATAATATGAGCCATCAAATGCACTCTAATAGATCTATGGAAAACGTTCATAATTCTCAACTACATACAATGCAACAAATGAATCATCATATGAATAATAGTAATCGACCTCAGATGGACAATAATAACATGCATGTTAATCAACAAATGGTTCTACAGAATAGACAAATGGACAATATTGGACATCATCATCAGCATCAGATACCAAATGTAATGCAAATGCAAAATAGTCGGTCTCATATGGAAAATAATTTAATGAGTATGCACCAACATGTACCTAATCAAATGCACAACCGACAGTCTATGGATAGCGGTATGCATATGCATCATATGCCGGGAAATACGAATAATATGAATATGCCCAATCAAATGGATAATACAAATGCTATATCAAATATACATGTTAATAGGCATGACAGTAATTCAATAGGGATGCAAAATCTCAGTACCATGAATCAATTACAGAACAGATCATCCATAGAACACACGTCAATGATGCAGCATCAAATGAACAATATGAGTTCAATGAACAATATGAATCTACACAGCAACATCAACAGCTCTATGCAAATTACTAACACAAATCATCAATCTATGAATAATTCCTTGATGCATGTACCTAATATTCCAGATATTAAAAACGAAATTCAAAATGCGTGTGGTGGAAGTTGCACTAGCAATACTTCACAATATTCTAATAACCAAAATTCCTTTGATATATGTTCAAATATGAATTCAACTAATAATATGAACATCAGTACAGGAAGCATGTTGCATAACATGAATGTTAACAGTTCCAATATACCTAATAACATGATGATGAACTCCGTAAACAATAGTGGCATGTATGGTGCCAACAGTCAAAACTCAATGGCAGGTCATGATATGTTAATGAGTTGCAATAACTCGTCAGATCATGGTGTTAACAACCTCATGTCAAACTCTAATCACATGATGATGAACAATTCTCAGTCTCATGCTAATTCAAATCAAAATCAAATTTTAAGCTCTCAAGTTGCTAATAATTCACAAATGAATATCAGTAGCTGTAGTATGAGCAGCACATCACAAAATCAACTGACTAATATGGATAACCAAATGAACAGAAATAATATGTCCGTAAATGAATCTGCGAAATTTCCTCAAGAATCATTGAGAGGTAAAAATATTATGGGTACATCCTCTAATACTAATTTGCCTATGGCAAATTTAGCTAATAACGATTGCGCTAAATTAAATATGACAGGAAATGAAAAGCAGAATCACAGTATACCAGTGAATAACCAAATAGGATATATGCAAATGAATTCGCAAAATAATAGAGTGATTAATCTCCCTGAAAGGAGCAGGATTAATAGTGCTAATTTGGAAAATAATTTGAATCAACATGTTTCCCAAAGTAACATAAATCAACATGTGCCCCAACAGCATAATATAAGAGTTATGACTAACACTGCCAGTAGTAATTTAACCGGAATAAACACAGAACCTCTAGCATATCAACAAAAGACTGAGAATAGTGGCACTATGATCAATGTACCATTCCAAGCAATACCCAATAGTGCCCCTATGAATATCAATGTTAACTCCAGTAATAACACAGTAAATATCACTGTTCAAAATAATCTTGTTGACCCAAAAATTGCATCAAAGGCAGCTACTGATATTAACTTCCCTATTCAACCAAATACTAATTTACTTACAAATCAAAATAATAGTGGAAATATGATATGCATTCCTGTTCAAAATAATACGATAAACTTACCTACACAAAATAGTTCCAGCATCACTTTACCGAAGGCTCCTCCGACTCAACAATCTGGCATACCTACTAATGTTGTTAATCCCATGTCTATGAGACCTATGAATAGAGTATTGCCATTACATAGAGAAGGTCAAAGCAAATCTGCAAAGAGTTCAACCGCTAATAAATCATCTGTAGTACCAAAGCAGAGACCAGTAAGCCATGATATGCCTGATTTAAACATCAAAGATGAAACAATCGACAGTGATTTGGAAAAGGCCATTGAAGAGTCTAAACGCATGATGGAGTTGGAAAGACTAAAAAAAGAAAAAGAGGAGAGAGATGCAGCTCGCGCTTTGCAATTATCTACCGAAACGCATCAAGCTAATACAAGTAGTGCTTCAATGGAGACAGAAACAACGAGTGCATGTGAATCGATTGAAACTGTTCCGAAAATGCCTTCTTTACCGAATTTGGATACAGAAATGATTGAAGTTGAGCCACCAAAGATACTAGTTGAAAAAGATATAAATAAGACTCCAGTCACTCCAAAAGTTCCTAATGCACCTGCAAAATTAATGAAAAGACCTTTTGGCGATAAGAAAAATGAAATTGAAACAATCGTGATTAAAAAGCAACCTAAATTAAGGGGTCAAGAGAATAAACCATCTCTTCCGAAACAAACACCAGATCCTCCAAAAGATGATGGCCCAAAATTAATATATGAAGTAACATCTGAAGACGGTTTTAACTACACATCATCTTCACTAACTGACCTCTGGGCGAAGGTAGTGGAAGCCGTTCAAAATGCTAGAAAACAATCTGGATTACCTTTAATACAGTATAACCTACCTTCAAGTTTATCAGGAGCGCACTTGTTGGGTCTTAACAACAATGCCTTGCGATATTTAATTGAACAACTGCCTGGGGTGTGTATATTTGTATTTATCCTTTCATTGTGATATATATAAGAGATAGATATAATCCATTATTTTAATACATAAAACTATTTTACAGGCAAGTCGATGTACAAAATATAAACTACGCCAAGGGCGGCCGTTAAATAGCTGGGATAATGACCTGGATTTAAGCGAGGGCTTCAAGGAGAGTCCATGGGGAAGTGCTCGCACTGGACCTGTGGCCAGGAAACAAAACCACGATATGTTTAGTTGGATGGCGTCGCCTTTCAGAGAAGAGCCTCCACCATTCGGAGGCCAGGAAGGAGAGAGTTCTATATCGAGGTAAAATATTTAATTTAATTGTTCTTAATTTTTTATTTTGTAACATTTTATTCTAGATAATATTAATTAGTATAGATATTATCTGGTAGTCTGGTGGTTTATTAAATCGCCTTACTTTTGGTAGTAACAAATTCGATATCTCGCATGATACAGACATTTTTTTAAGAGAATGGTTCTTGGTTTGTATGTATATTATGTTTGTAAGTATTTCTATCAGTTGTTTAGTTCTCATGACACAAGCTCTGCTTGGGACTAGATGGTGCTGTTAAATTTATAGGGTTATTATTATTAATAAATATTGTATAATATTCCTATATTTTTTACAGGCGTTTAGCAACTCTACCCCCTGCAATGCGATTCAGGCAATTGAAGGAGACCTCTAAAGTATCTGTGGGCGTATACAGATCTCATATTCACGGACGTGGTCTATTCTGTAAACGTGACATCGAAGAAGGTATTCTTTTAATTATTAGCATGTTATAATTATAGCTATGTTTCATTATTCTATATTGAATGTGTTCTGTGCTACATGTACTTGACTATTGCATGACTCCAGGGGACATGGTGATAGAGTATGCAGGCGAAGTGATTCGCGCGGTGCTCGCTGATCAACGTGAGAAACGTTACGAAGCGATGAGTGGTCGACGAGGAGTCGGCGGATGTTACATGTTCCGCATCGATGACAATCTAGTGGTAGATGCAACCCTCAAGGGGAATGCTGCTAGATTCATCAACCATTCCTGCGATGTAAGTGTTATAACTACATTGTTTTTTTTGTAATAATACTCTAATACAGCGACAGCTACTTACCGATTACTTACTTATTTAAAGCAAATCTTACAATTATTGCTTTTTTGAAAAGAAATTTATTTGCGTATTATACAGTTAAATATTAGTTATTTTTAAATTTTAATATTATTTACTAATTCATGTAAAAAACTCAGTCAATAGAAAATTAACACACATTGGGATAAGTTGCAAATAAAAGTATGAAATGAAAAAGCTACGCTGTTATGGATAATTGTCTCAAATCTCAAATTTTATTAATATTATTTATTCTTGGATGTTTGCTCAAAAAGTGACACGGGAAACCGTATACCTAACAAACTCAATTTTTTAAATTGTAAACAGCATTATTTTATAGTAATAGATTACTTATAGTATTTTGGGTAACATTTAGTTACCATGCGCGTCACCATTTTCAAAACATTTTGTTCCTTATTAATTTTGTAAACAAGGCCAATGTAAATACTTTCGGCGGGAATTGCATGTTCATCAGTTAGTTTGACCATATAATTTAATGTATTTACTTTAATTAAATTATCCTTATGTTACAGCCCAACTGTTACTCACGCGTGGTGGACATTCACGGTCATAAGCACATCCTTATTTTTGCTCTGCGTCGCATCACCGTCGGCGAAGAGCTCACGTATGATTACAAGTTCCCATTTGAAGAAGTCAAGATACCCTGCACTTGCGGTGCCAAGAAATGTCGCAAGTACCTTAATTGAAGACTATGCGTAAGTTTACTTTGTGTCAATTATGAATATTGGAAAAGATAAGTCATGTGGCACCACATTTATCATACGTCTTTAAAGGACTATAAGTATCACATTGGTATATTAAATGTCGTAATTAAAGAAGTACATACAAATTAAGACAAACATTTTTACTTGGATTGGATATTAGAAACATGGATAGTTTTATGTATGTGGCATAGAAAATTGATGGATCTCCTAAGAATTCTAAGAATGCGCATTTAGAATCTACGTGTGGGGAGGTGTGTGTGTAAGGATAAAATACTGGGTCGAGTACGTTTATTATATGTACATATTTGTGTATGTAAGACAATAAGTTAACTTCACATATCGCGTTATTCCCACCTTTGTATCTTGACTTTTTCAGTGCCATGAATAGCATTGGATGCACTGAGAAAAAAATGAATCTTGTTATGATCTCTTTCTTGAATCTACCCAGTGTTTATAATTGTTGGATTGTATAATTTGGACTTAGATTTATTTAAGAATTATTTTGTGATAAGTATATATTTTGTATATATTTTTATTTGCGTTTTTAATACAATGTTTACTGTTTAGAGGTTTCACGAACGGCTTAAGCGTGTACACTAAACTTGGATGTGATATGTTTTAGCCCCAAAATTTGGGTACGAGAATGGTTAGTGCATATGTAGGTATTGTATATTTGTTCCTCATTTTATTCTTATTTGTCTTCATTTGTGATCAATTAAGTCTCGACTAACATACCCTGTAAATATAATTATTACATCCTATTTTTAGTAATTATTAATAGTTAACATAATTATTAATAATAATATTAGTACATTCGAAAAAGGGTAGCAAAGTTACAAGTACAATGTTACTTTTTAATAGTTTTAATTGGTATTGTATAGTAAATTTGTAAATAAGAGGAATTATCTGTCATAATAATGAAGTTAAGAAATCGTTTTATTGTAGTCATAGTTGTAGGTTTTACTTTATAGAGTATATTTTACTGTGTAAATAATAACTTTAAGTGGGATAGTCAAGTGTGTGGCGTGGGAGTATTATTGCAACTGTGGACCCAGAAATAATTATGAGATTTGTTCAATGACTCCCATTATTGTAGCACGGATTAACATTATATGCACATTTGTTAGCTTTAAAACTGTAACAGCACAGCTTGTGTTGCAAAACATGCAGAATACAACTACTAATTTGAATGTAAATTATAATTTAATTTGTGTACTTTTTTTTAATTGGCAAGTTGGATATTTTAGCATTTTTGTAAGCATTTATAGACTGAACTCTCACTCATCACAATACAAATTTAATCATCACAGAAAGCATCCAAATTACTAGTGAATGCGATATGTTGCAAAGAACTCACAATATGTTTTAGTGATTTAATGATTAGATGCAGAAACCAGTTATTATTGTTTTAAAAGTGTGAATGAATGCCAATGTCATAGGGTAAATTGTGTAAGTAAAATTGTAACTGCATCTAATAATGGCAGTATTAAATTAATTTAATATTTGTCCCCAAGTATTTTATAGATAAAATCAATAGAACAGATTATAGTAGAATAAAAATATATATAAATAATAATAGATTTAAACTTTTCAAAATTTGTATGTAGAAATGAAATGCACCAAAATTCAAAATGTGTGCATATGGCTGGCATGAAACGTATGATAACTATTTACTATTTATTACGTGACATTTTACTTATAAAATCTCATAAACATGCAGAAAATACATATGCAAGATAAGGTATCTTGCATACGATTTTTTATATGTTGTAATTAATTAATATCAATATATTGTCATTTAGTATATATATTATTATTGTTTACGTAGCAATTATTATATTTGCTATTAAACGATTTAATTAATAATTTGATATGGCAACTTAAATTACCACTTAAACTACCATTATGGTAATTTAAATTACATTTTATTTTTAAAGTAAAGAGGTTTAATTTGATATTTTAAACGTTTATTGTTCATTATGAATGTAAGTAATAGGGTCTTAACACGAATAATTTTATGCTAAATAAAGATATGATGTTTCAAGTAGGTAGCACTAAATGTCTTTATTTACTATGAAATGATTCATGTTAAGATCCGATTATTAATGTACCTTGATTATTTACTTCAATCTTTTATATCCCATTCACGTAGATATTTTGAGAAGTCCTTTCATAGTAGATGCCTACAAAACAACATCATAAAGGGAACCTATATTGAAAATGTTATGTCTATAACCCCAGCCGTTTTAGCAGTGCGTAGATAGACGCGACAGGTTGTCTCTTTAAAATTGTTGTTAATTTTGCAATTTTATACACTACTATTACTTATATAAACGTGAAAATCAAATCGATATTGTAAATTATTACTAAAGTATCGTTTTGGATTTTTGTTATTACTATTCAGTATAGTATATTATTTAATACCGAAACAATGCCATTATTACACGTTATACGTAGTGTATGTGCCATCACAATCGGTATGAAATAATATAATACTCCTCAAAGTGTTTAGTATTTAGTTACGTACGTTTGGTGCTTTCATACATAGCCGATCGTTATTAAGTATTCTTTCTTTTATATGAATCATTGCTGCCGTCTTGCTACTTATTGGTAAATTATTTAGTGCTATTTTAATTATAACTTTAAAATGAACATCATTTTAATACTCTCGTGTTTGTTGTATCATTCAAATGTTCAGGAAATAATATAATACAGTTAATTTTTTACCGACTTATTTTAGATCCCCGTGAAATAAAATGAATGCAGAAATATTACTAAATAATTTAATTATTTGATTGGATACAAAAATACATTGTACATGTATATAACACCAGTGTCAATAAAATCACGCACTCGGATCTTATCAATTCAGTCATAAAATTTTTACTGGTTTAAAAAACTTTGGATTTGTCAATAATGACTCTATCAAAGTACGAAGGCGTGCGTATATGATGTGAAAGTGTCCGTACACTTCGATATAAGACGACTACACCTCTGAGAGAACTTCGCTACAATATTTATGGTTTAAAATATTCCTTAATTTGTAAACACAATTTGGTAATCTCTAAATTTTGTAAAGGAACTACTACATGTTTGTTTGTTGTAAAATGATTCAAATTCATGAATTATATCTATTTTCTATTATAAAGTGAAATTTCACCCAATGTCGTACGATACGTCGTATGCTTTATAAGAAGATAATTTTCATTGTATTAACATGGTGACCAAGAGTCTTGACATTTTCTCTAGTTCCATAAGTAATAAGTAAGTCATATTTTTAATAAAGGATAAAAAGTATGACGACACTTTTTACTTCATCACTGAAATGTAACGGTATCCACACATAATCGTTAATACAGATTAATTTTTAGCATATATCTAAGGTGGGGTGAGGTGTTTTCGTATTGTTGCTTTATAATATTTTTGTACGAAGTTCTCTTTGGGTGGTCGACATAGTGGATTTAAAACTAGTCTTATTTTTCTGATTTATATCAAATCAGTCACGCAGTTGGCTGTATGAATATGAAAGCTGCGATTTAATTTTGATAAACGGTTGTTATTTCTTTACATTTTATATGAGAGTTAGTCGAAATTAGTTTACATCGAGTTACGATAATAATACAAAGTACAGATAATTTTAATCATTATACTTAACATATATTTTTAAAATAAGTTTTTACATAATAATTAACAAAAAGTTTTTTCCATCTTTCTGAATATTCCTTGTCTATTGTATTATTATATATTGGTATCTTGAAGGGAATGTCAATTCTATAGTTGATGTATTATGATTTTTTATGTCGGTCTTCATCTCTTTTATATTATCGGGATTTGCTTGACTAGTTTCAAACTTGTAAAGCAAACTTATCATAATTTAAAATGACTCACGATAATGGATTGTGTAAATTTACTTTAAAATCAATTTGTAAATTACCCCTTTGACATTATTATCGTTGATTTTTATTTGTTAGGCGGTATTTCAAAGTGGAAATAATATGCTTTAAAATTATGTAATTATTAGTTCTGTACCTATACAATAAATTTATTAAAAAGACCAAATCACCAAGTGATTAATAAATTTTGTGTTATTGTAAGTGTAAACATCTGCTCTTGATATTATTTTGTGTTAAAATAATACCTTTATTTTTAATGTACACAATGCCATTTTGCCTAATATTATTATAAATTATATTCAATTGCTTTAAAAGCACCAATTTTACAATGCATAGTTCTATGACTTGTCTATACATTTTATTACTTTATTTATTTCTATTATTATTTTGTATTGTGGTAAATTTTACCAAAAATAAAAATACTAAAATGTGCTTTACATACTGTTTCATTAAGAGAGTACCTAAGAGCTACAGTCATGAGTCATAATTAATAAATAAAAATTGCATGGGTATAGGTATTGTGCGAGTCATCCAGTATGATGACTCCTACAATATGTCTAATAATAATAATCATGTATAATGGTGATAGAACATATACTCTACTACAGTATATGTTCTGTGTGTGTGTAGCTGATGTCCACACATCAGCTATAAGAAACATGTAAATCATGAAAAATATTTTTTTTAAAAGGCTCAAATAGTTTTTACACTATTATTAGTGTTCCTAAATTATGACCCTGTGTAAGTCAAATGCCTGAAAAAGAATCTTAAGTACAAAGCTGTATGATGATTATGTATTAACTATGATCATCTACATTGTAGAGTGTCGTCGTCTTATGGTCATCCCTAAATTACATTATATTATATATTATCTTATATTTGCTATAACGGTGTGGACTGAGTGAAATTATATGATAAGAGGTGGAAGGTGTCAAGTTTAGTGCCATCACATTTTCAAATATACATTTGATTAAAAAAATAATTAGTCGCATCGTATATGCTGCTTGTTTATTATTTAATCATAGATGACATACGTTGAACAAATCTACATCTAGAAAGATGTAGATTTGTTCAACGTATGACATTAGAGGGAGGGTCAAAATAATTAAATTCGTGTGATTATTTTTTATGGATGGCATAAACATTTATTACCCTATAATTGAAGTGCAAGGGCCCATATGTTCACAATGCAAAACATGAACTTGTTCTCCCAACGCACTGTACAGGTCCCGTCGGTCGCAGTATCCCAGTAGTAGGCTGCCGCCGTGTGTAGACCAGAGCCATTCTTCTGAGTTATTATAATTTGTACTGGGTAATGAAAAAGAAATAAAATTATAGGTATGTATTTAAAATAAAAAATGTGTCCGACCAAACTTTCGTTTCAGCCTAGTTTTGGCTTCGGTTTCGGCTTGAAATCGACAAACTATCGTTACGGCCTCCGGTCGGAGGAGAATCCCAACTCTCAACATTCATATTTATTACTCATTTAGTAATTTTTTTAACTAAATGAGTAATAAACATATTTTGTCTTAAATTTGTTAAAGTAACTACTTAGTTGCATACACATGTAAAAAAAGTAAAATTTCGGAGATATGCGTGGGCAAACACGCATATCTCCAAAACACACATAAATAAACATACAAACATACATCCCCTAAAATTTGTATCCAATGAATTTGCCTTGGGCCTCCAACGGTAGATATAGTTACGCCACTGTTAGGAATCGCGTCTGCTAATAACGGTATTTTTTTTTCAAGGAAATTATTGTTCTTATGGATTCTCTATTCTGGTGAGGAATTTATTAAAATGATTACATATTACGATAATAATACCAATGTTATGAAGCACTTACTGATGTATTTAAATGGCTTATTAAGTTTATTGAGTTTTGACAATGTTTTTTCAGTAATAATACTAATCCACTGTGGAGTACGGGAGTGACTGTAGGAGTTGCCGCCTAAACATAATTCAATATTATCTCTAACTATTTTTTGAACATCTTCTACATTAAACGTTAAATCCTGAAAATTATACATTTATATCATAATACAATTTTATTACCAGTCTACAAATCTTGGAGTCTCACTAGTTTGTTTGTATTGCAAATCTAAGGCGCCGACAAGGTAATCCCAAGAAGAAATGTTAAAGCTTAGTTACATTGTGAATGAAGTTGGAAGAAAATCATTTCGTACTTCTATTTTAAACTTAGTTACTTATTCTTGATCGTGGTAAGGATATTTCTGGTTACAATTTCAATAAATTCGTAGTTTGTCAATGTTTTTCAGAGCCTTGTTACAACCTAGACATGTCATGAGTACATACATACACAAAAGTCATGAGTATGAATAATTTTTGTGCCAATTTATACTTCTGATATTCGTATACATACCTACCCCGATATCCAGACGGCTAGACGGCTATAGGGGGACATGTTGAATGAAATATGGACTTAGAGCACGACGTCAACAGTTGACAATACTATTGACCCTCACACGTCGTAAAGGTATGTAAGGTAAGTATTTTCATAAGGACCCTTGGTTAGAATAGAATACATGGTTCTATCTAGGACTAAATAAAGAGCGTATATATATGGTGAATAAATGAGTTTTGAATAGCCTAAATCACAAATAAACAAACAAATTAATTGGGTATCTCATGGCATTTCATAAATCAGTAATAGCAAATAGTAATGGGTTTACTGAGTACTATAAAAGTATTATAAAAGACCAATTTTCAGAAAGGCAGGATATATATAGGGATATTTTAATATTTATTATTATACACACACATATATATATATATATATATATATATTATTATTATTATTATTATAATAAAAAAAAAATATTCGAAAGAAAAAGAATATAAGCATTACCTCTTCGTCATCTTGAGCCATATTTCTATAAATTATAACCGAGTAGTTATTACTTAAGTACCTGACTAAGCGAAAGTTCCAATTGGAAGATATGTATCTAAAAAATAAGTGATATGACTATAATTAATATTGTCAATGCCAGTAATATGGTTTTCAGCCAGTCAGCGTTTATTCGGTTAATAAATACTACTGAGGAAAATATCGGTATACTTCACAAATTTTTCAGCATCCTTTTTCCATAAAAAATAAAAGTAGGTATATTTAGATTATCAAATATTATTAGGAGACAATATTAAAATTCACGCCTTGGTGCAAACCGGAATAGTGGAAGTCGTCTGGGGGAAATGACTGTTAGTAATCGGCACTAATGGTACAATAGCTAGCAATGTACGTACACTCAGAGTGAATCACCACTGCCGCGAACTAACCCATCTGACTTTATTTACCTCTACTGTATTCCGCTAGCGTATAAAGTTCCTCGTAAATTGAACATATACGATGGTTTAGCAAATTTAGCATACTGCACCTATGCTCGTGGGTTCAATTTCCGTTTATTGGTTTGGAATTTTAGTGTTGTTACACTATTACATGTAAATTAATTCGGTGATTGTTATTAACATGTACTAATTCGCTAATTATATAAAAAAAATACAATTACGATTACAAATTGAAAATTAGGTAATAAAAACAGGTGTTCCTGCTATATGTGTAAAGGAACACACATTACGGAATATTTATGGCCATCCCAGTCGTTAAAAATTGTTAACGATTATATTATCACTTTCTGCTAAAAGAAAACAATAGCTAGAATGGGAAAATACGTTAATTCATGATTAAATTCAAGATCATAGCTCTAAGTAATTAACCACTATGCTAAACCATAAAACAATAACGACAGTACAGAGTACCAACTGCTTGTTTTGTTGTAATCTCTTTGATCTGTATTCATAACCCATATTTTGTTGTCAATATTTGTCTGTCATATATTTTCTTTTGTGTTATTGGCATGATTTTGTCGTATTTTATCTTGTTTTATGTAAGAAAAAAAACACAACCCAGTTGATTAAGTTTTGTAATAATGTCGTAGACGGGTAGACAGTTATATTCAGTGTATATTATTATAAATTAATGGAGTTGAAGGTCTGGGTGGAAGGAATACAAAGGATTGTTTGTGGGGTCACAGAGACCACTACTTGTCAGGTTGGTTTGTAAATCAAGAAGTTTCTGTGTTATGTATGTTATGGGATCACAATTTCGTTGTTATAAACTGTCTTAATTTTTACTAATTTCATTTTACGTTGTGCAGGATGTAGTTTTTGCTTTGGCCCATGCTACGGGCAAAGTGGGCAGATTCACTTTGATAGAAAGGTGGCGAAATAACGAACGTCTCCTGGCTCCTCAAGAATATCCACTTAAGGTAATTTCGATTTATTTGAATCATTATAGTTTGTTAATTGATATTGTGTTAAAATGATAATAATGTATTTCCCTAATTTACAGATTCTGTCAAAATGGGGTGAATACTCAAACGACATACAATTTATATTAAGAAGATCTGATTCTGGTAATAGCCAGAAGTCTCTACAGAACACCAGCAACACTAGGTCTCCTATAGGAAATGGGTTTGTGTAATAATTTAGTTTTGATTCTATTTGAAATGGTATTTACTATACTAAAAATAATTTGAACAATTGTAATTTAAATATTACTTTTCTGTCTCTACAGAGACATACAAACATCTAGTTACGCAAACTGGCTCCTTATTTATCTGTTTTTATTAAATATATATAATTTATCTTATGTATTCATATTATTTTCAGTTTATTCATTTAATAATTATTAGCCCAGAAAACAATATTTAGATAATAATGGTTATTACAACTGGGGTTATATAATCTATCTAAAATCATATATCTGAATATTATAAAGCTGCAAAATAATGAATTTATTATAATACTCATTATTTGTGCCCAATATATTTTAATACTAGCTGACTGTGAGGCGTAACTGCTAAAATCACAGGTAAATCCAAGGGCACAAGGTAAATGGTAGTTAAAAGCATATATTCATACTTATTTGTCTTAGTTCACATATGAATATTTTCTTTGTTCTCACAATCAGAACTATGTCAGCTAAGTGAAAGTATGTGAGAACATTCACCATATACCTACTCTTTGGCTTACCCATCTTGTATAAAGTAATACTGAAGAAATATTGGAAACACAAATGGTAATACCATGTTTATTTATTTTCATGGTATTACCATAAATATAATTATTACTAATAGTAATAAAAAATATATAATTATATTTTTAGCAGCCATAACACATCAAATCCAAATATGTTGGAAAGTCAAAACTCACCAAATAGATTAAATGCAACACCAACTTATAGCAATAATAACATAAATAATACATCCCCGAGTAATCCTGTTGGAGTGGTGAAGGGTGTGCAACAAACCAAGATGCTAGAATCTGATAGTCCTGTATTGAAGGATGTCCCACCTTATAGGTAATCTTTTAATTTAATTTCTGTCTGAATTTGCACTATTTTAAGATAATTGGATGGTTTTTTGGGATACATTTTGTATTAACTTCATAAGTTTATTTATTTTTAATTGTGTACATAAAACAGTAATGAATCAAATAATTTCTAATATAATACAAATTGATATGATTGTGTAAAGTTAGCATCATGTATAACTGAGCATTATTTTACTAATCTATGAACATTAACACATTGCACTCCTGCTGCACTATATCACTAGCATCAAGATATTTACCGCTTTTTGTTGGGTGTATAATAAAATCTGTATAAATTATAAACCTACCCTACTATTGGTACAGATATTATGAATGAAATTTATGAATTTTTGCAGTGTATCATATTTTTTTTTAACTTTTAATAACACTTACCATTTAATGTTATTTATTTATTATAGTATTGTTATGCTATACAATTGTTTAGTTTCAAAAACAAGGAAATTATTTATATGTTGAAGTGTGGAAATTAATTAACTTCTCTTTTACCCACAAAAAATTGATATGCCCATAAATTTAATATTTTATATCATTAGAGAACCACCACCTCCTTACCGTTCACCACCACCGCCATCACAAGCTTTACGGAAATCTCCAAATCGTATGCGCGGCAATCGGTCAGCACATATGTCACCCGTCAACTTACCCGAGGAGAGTGCTGAGAGAAGCCCAGAAGCAGTCAGTTACAACAGCCAGTACAGAGAGCTTGTGTCACTGGTTAACTATCAAAGAGAGAAATTGTCAAGCCAACAAGTTGATCTTATTAAGGTAATTAAAACCTATACAAAATTTTTGGTGTGAAATGTTTATTTTATTATTATTATATTAAGTTAAATTATAAATAATAATAAGTAGTTAAAATGTGCCCAAGGGTACTTTTGATTAAACAAGTCTATACTTAATGCAATACTTTTGTTTAAATGAGCCTACATCTAATGCAACATTGAAATTTTTTATGAAGAGGCGTCAGAACCAATCGCATCATTATTACTCTAAAAAAATAAATTGTATGCTCCTAAAAAAGAAATCCTTAAGAAATTATACTTAATAATTTCTTATAGTATGATGCTGAAATTGGTTACTGGGAAAACAAAGGTCGCGAGCAGGATCGGCAGGTGGAATTGTTGCAACAGCAAATTAATTCTGCCGACAACCAACTGCGCATTAGCACTGAACAGGTATATTATTTGATGTGACTGTAACAATTATATTATTTTGTATAAAGATTTTTAATCTAGTGTTTATTTAATTTATTGTGTCTATTAGAAAGTAAATTTCTAAGAGGTATCTTTTATATATTTGTCATTTATCATCATCAAAAGATGTGTCTCTGAAGGGCTATGTCCAAGCTGTAGATGTAAGTGTAGATACTAATATTGTTTGTAACAAACCTTAAATTTTTATAGTAAAATCAATGTTTTTACAATTAAGGTCCAGGCTTTAAATTATATAGAAGAGGAAAGCGAAATAGTCAAACAGAATGAGAAGACACTGAAATCTGAAATAGTACTGGTACGGTCGAAGTTAGCTAACTGTGAGACTGAGCTATTGCAATGTAAGAACAAAATACGGAAGCTCATGGAGGAAATTCACAACGAACAGCGTATATTAAATAGTCGTCAGCAGGAAAATCGGTAAGTAAAGTAAAGTTCACTATATTGATAAGATAATTTTGAACCAATGCCAAATAGGAGGAAATTAGTTATTACAAGTATTTAAAATTCGATTCCAATGTTTATTTTTTAATTCAATTAGTCTCTTCAACTACTCTAGGTATTCTTACAGTTTAGTTGATTTCAGTACGTACATACAACGTAACATTTATCAGTACTTATGCAAAGCAGCTTATTATGAAATATTTTATAGTAATGTGTTATGGGTACTAAACAATTGATATAAATACTTATATGAGGCTCGTAATGCTTGTTCAATTTTGGTCAATCATACTGAATATATTTAATTGTTCATTACAGACAAGCATTGGAGAGATCAATGCTCGCCGAAATGGAAAACCTGCAGAGTCAGATACAGCAAGCCAAACATGCCACTGAAATAAATCATCTCACAGCTGAAAATTTAAAGCGCGAGGTATTTAGCTTGTACAAATATTACTTACATACATAATCTTAATATTATAATAAATAATTTTAATAAGTAATTACATACTTTTAATATCATCAATAAAATCAAGACCTTTCCTAGGAGGGTGGGAGGAGGCTTTTCTTAATTTAACAAGAAAATCTTTATAGAGTTAAGAATCTGGTTTAGGGAGCCCCTTCGGTCCTTAAACGAGTGAGTCTTTATGAAGATTTTTCGGATTTTTGTCGGCTAAAACCTGTTGGCCACTACTCCTGAAACATGTCGTCGAAGGCATGGGAATGATTTCGTATTCGCCCATGGGAGGAGTCCTAGAATATAATAACTTCAATCCCGCTGTTATAATTAACTTGTGACGTAATTTATGGATAACCCTAATTGTAAGTATGTAATTACTATAAATTAAATTAAATAAATTCATCAGGTCGGTGTATTAGAAGATGCAATTATGGAGAAGAAGCGTCAGGTAGAACGGTTAGTTCAGGAGATGAAGGAAGCGAATCTTCAAAGCCTGACGGGCAGCGTGGATGAACTCCGTCACCCTTTAGACGGTAATATTTTACAAGTTTATTTATCTATTTATTTCTATTTGAAATAGCTTTTGTATAATTTGTACAAGCCTGTGAATTATTGTAAAAATGTTCACATTTGTTTTCAATTGAGAACAAAAGCGTTTTTTTATACGACCATATTCTACGCAAGTCCTAAATTAATTTTGATGATTCTTTGAAATTGATAAGGTTTGTTTTTGTTAGTTATTCGTCAACATTTTTTAATTATAAACATAAAAATTAAGAGTATAATTTATATGAAGTCTGTGTTTGATTTAATATTCAAAGAGTGTATTTCTTTTTCAGGTTTGTGCAAAGCAGGTAGTGCACGTAGAATTATAGGATCCCCACGCCAGTTGGAAAACGCAGCTCCTACAAATAAGAATCCACATGGAGTTTGGGTATAACAAGGACCTAGAAAACAATAAATCAAACTGAAAATTACTTACTTATGAAATATATATAATCATATACGTAAAACTTACGATGTTGAAACCGATCTTGTGTTAGTATAATTTATTCATATTTGTGTTCAAATTAGTGTCATATTGGAATTTATATGTCTCAAGTTAAGTAATTATAATATTAACTTTTATAGTTGTTTTTACAAATATCAATTGATATTTTAGCCTGATGAAAGTATTATCTTGTCTTGCCGTTTATTTTTTAGGATTATACTTTGAATATCCCACTTTGATTTGTGTGTGAACATGTTAAGAATGAGTAGATAATTAGTTTAATCGAAGATAATAACGTGTGTGAACTAGTAAATTATGTTTTTTGGTACTTGTAACTTTTGTTTAGTGTCATTGATTGCATTTTAGTTTTTATTGGTGTTTAGTAAATGTTGTATATTAATAATTCGAACCTGAATTGACGTGGTGATACTTACTCACCGATATTTAGATATAATAGAAAATTTAGATACTAATTTATATTATCAGTTTACCATTTGAAGCTCTTTATATGATCATTGTATTTAAGAAAGATATTTTACATAATTTTATGTGTATTGCTGTTCTAAATACTTGAATGACGATCTACTTTAATACATGTTATGAATAATTTGCAATATATAAATAATTATATTGTTAATAATAATCTAGTCGAAAATAAAAGCCATTGCAATATTATAGAAACCAACATAATTTTCATGTACTTCATTAGAAAATTCGTGGCATTTATGGTACAGTACCTAGGTATATTAGAATTATGAGGATTAGAAAACCGTATTAGAGATAAGCATATTTTATAGTTCTTGCTGAACATTGCGGAAGTATATTTATTAAATTTTGAATATTATTATTACTATGCATGGTTACTAATAGTATTTAGATTTGTGTATATTAATTCACATATTAAAAATAAAATGAAAAAAGTATTTTTTTTTTCAATATACTATTCCGATAAGGCCCTTTTGTTACCCAGGTTTTTCATTAACAGTTTAATAATTGTCATTAAAAATAATAGGTATGAATCTTCACTATTCATGTTTCTAAAGTTTATTTATTGCAGAATTTGATGTTACAAGCATTGGATTTTTATAGGACAGTAGTAAATACAATGAAATAAAACTATTGTTATTAATCTTATATTCAATTTATTGACAAGAGTTGACTACGCGCATTTTATTCTTCGTAAATAACTATATTAAAATTAAATTATTTACATCAAATACCACATGTATTAATCTACAAGTAAACAATTTATCACATCGTTGGAACGAGGGAATAAATGTGCGTAATCGCTCCACTTTTGGCAACACTATATTATGAGAATAGTTTTCTACAAAATAGCTGTCGAAAATGCAAAATTGCAAAGTCATTACTGGTTAGTTACGAGAATGTATTTATATAACTATACCTTCATAATGTATATTTGTTAAAACATATTTGTTTCAACCAAAATAGTTATTTTTTCATTTACTCTGTTCTAATTTCAAACATAAATAGAGATTCTTCTAATAATAATAATTATTTGTAACTTGGAATCAAGACTTCTGTTATAGAAATTAAGTTTAAAATCGGTTCATTTAATATAACTGAAATGATATTTAAAATATTATTTTCGACATGAATCTACCGATACATCTGCATGAAGAGTTACTATATTATGGATAACTATATTTTTAAGGTTATCCTATTACAGAAAAACATTTTATGTTAAATATACAATAGTGTATAGAACTGCAGTACTGTTGATTGCATGATTGCACTGTCTTTGAATCCATAGCCACTTTAAATCTTCGATTGGCCAGATAGGCGCTATGCTTTCTCTTCTTTTTCCCTGTTGTACCTTTCAAGCTCTTTAAGAAATTGTCCCTTCGGTTTCATAACGTTGGGCCTATCGCCGCGGCACTTGGGGCAAAACCACTTCCCTTTCGGTTTAGTTGTTAGAGAAACGCATGAAAAATGGAACCACTCTATAGGACAGAGGTCATTGTCACAAAGAATCATTTCACCAAATGATATCTGATCGCAGAGGCAATACCGTGGTTCATCGGGATCAATTGCGTCTGTCTCTTCAGGTGGAGTTTCAGAACGTTGTGCCGTCTGTCTTGCTTTGCGTTTTTTCTTCTTACCTATACCTGAAATCATTTAAGTTTTGGTTTTAATACTCTTATAAAACTACTATAACAACAATATTATTGGTATAGATTACTAAACTACAATTAGGGATGACCAATTTTAATGAAATTTGGAACATACATAAACCATAATTAATAATGGGTTAGGGCTGAACTCTATTGTAATAGCCACAACATTGTAACAGCCATGTCTAGCTAGCCAATATTTCAAATTGAATCTTCAACAGATTTCTTATGCTCTAGAAAATTCAATTTTGTTAGATGAAATTTGATGATTGATGATCGCAGATTGATGATGGCTGATCGCAGATAGATAAAAAAAAAAAGATGAAATTTGTACTAAATACTAGCAACCCATCACAGCTTCACATGGTTGCACTACAAATCTTTGAATTTCACGGCGTATCTTATACATATAAACTTTCCTCTTGGATCACTGTATCTATTGCTAACAACTGCATTAAAATCCATTGAAATTTAAAGGATATAAGCAAACAGAAAATGGCAGATTTTATACTCTGTCTGTGAAGATGCATTACCTTTCTTATGGGAAGTGTTGTGTGCATGTCTTTCACTATCTCGTTCACTGGAGTCTGCACCGTCTGTAGCAGCACCAGCAGTTGTACGTGAGCGCCGCGCGCGTTTTGACCATCTTTCACCTAATTTAACAGTAAATATTCAATAAAAGAAAAGGCTTTCCATCTAGATCACATAAATTGTAATATAATGTTTTCAATTATAAAAATAATTTATTATATTTCAGAGAGTCCAGATATCAGAAAAGACAATTTTCGGATATCAAGAGAAAGTAGATTGCAACTACCAGCTTTTGAACTTGTTACCAGCTTGAACAATTGAGTTTTAATACCTAAAATGGTATTAAAATTCAGATATAGGTTTGTAGGAAACTCAAACTCATTCTTTCTTCCCCTCTCAATTGAGATTTATTGAATTATAATATTTCATGTCTATATCCTTGATGAATTATGCATTCCTCCAGGGTATAGCCATGTTATAATTAATTCGGTAAATAGTAAAGAACATTGATGAACTGTGCTCATCAATATTGTTTTTAAGACCTTTTAAACACAAGTGAAGCATTACTTGGAAAATGACTCAGTGTCAAATTCATTAAGTTATATAAACCCAAAATAGTGATCATCAATAAATTACCTCCTGATTTGTCTCTTTCGACTTTCTCCTTTTCCTTTTCGTTACTGCGCTCTGGTGGTGGTGGTGGTGCAACAGCCAAGGGTTGAGGCTGTACTGTGCCACTATCCTTATCTGTAGTTCGTGGAGTTTCCAATGGAGTTGCAGGTTCTTCTTTTGTTGTACCATTTGTGTTCACATCCAGGCATGAAACTATAATAAAATTCAAAACAATTATAATTTGATAGAATTAAAATAAAAATAAATTTAGTAAATATTATGGACCCTGATGATGTCCTCGTATTTAATTATAATTGGTTGAGGGATTGACTTCGTAAATATAATGATTTAATTGTGGCAAAATATAAGAGTTTTTTTCATTCATGATTTAAACATATGATATAGTAGAAAAAACTGGTTAGACTTTTTCTAATTTTATCTAATAATTATATAGCATTTTATAATAATTATCAAATCCAAGTATGTAAATAATTTTCGAAATTCTACATTTGTCTTAGAATAAACAACAGTTAAGTTTAGATATGATATTTACCAAGTTTCTTGTGGTCAGCATCAAGAGATCTCTGTTTGTTATCTATGAGATCTTGCAGTAATTGCACAACTTGTAACTTCTCATCTCCAATTTCCTGTGCAGCAACAAGAGATGACTGTAATCGTGCCGCAGCTCGCACTCTGCGTCTCTCCTCTGTGTTTGTGGCAATGCAGACTGCAATATGTGTCTCTGCATCTCGAACACACTCTGTGAATTAATGTTGGACATTAGTCTGTAATTCATGAAATGTTATATTCATATAAAATAATCTACAAATTGCAAAAGCTTATAGCAGTCTAGTGGTTTATTATTAGTCTTATACCTGGTAGTTGCAGGTATGATTCCTTGCATATTAAAAGCATTTGTATTCATGTGTTTGATTGTTTGTATTTCTATTAGTTGTTTATTACACATAAAGCACAACAAGCTCAGCTTAGTTTGGAACTAGATGGATTCTTATGCTGTCAATATGATATCAAGACAAAAAATAATACCTATTATGATAAAGTATATAACAAATATAATACACAGAGATAAAGAATAATATTAATAAATATTATGGTTTATGTTATGTAGCTATACTTATATAGTATATATGCATGTAAAGTTATAGAAATGTTAAATATATAGTGATGTTATAATGTACCTACACTTGTTATATTTTCTATAGGTCTTAATGGCGAAAACATTTCACAACAAGCCTATATTTAATGCATGTAATATAATACAGTTAGACATCAAACATATACATTGAAGACACATATTAATTTTATTTAATCGTATTGTTATTAAAATTAGAATGTTTGAACAAATATCATCGTTTTAATGATGGGAATAAGATAAAATATAAGTGAAACAATGATATTTTCGCCCACCACAACAAGATGTTATATCTATAGCTATTTAGATGCGTATGTAGAAAGGTGAGTGACAACTGTCAACACAAGATTTTCAAGGCAGTTTCATGAATTACATGTTGTTTCTATTGTATTAACAGGTAAACACTATTAATTTACAACTACGGAGTAGTCAAAAATAAAAAAAATACCTCTGTATGTTACATCAAGCTCGCGCATACGCGATAAATGTCGTTGCAGGTCATTCGGTAGATTTTCGACACAATCTAAGTAATTTTCAACATAAGTTGCAGAAAGTAACGCTTCTGTAGAAGTTTGACTCAACATGTTTACGATTTTAATAAACTTTTCATTATCACAATACGAAAAAGATGACAATAAAATAGTTTCAAAGCGAAACAAGTTCAAGTAAATTACTGTGGTTACTGGCTACGAGCTGTCAAACAAACGACAACCGTCAATCACTTCAATCAGCGTCAGTCAGCATCATTTGGCCATCTTGATTTATTCCTAATCTCGATTATACTTTTCTGTTAATCGATTATTATGTATTAAAAAAAGGCTTGAAATAAAAAGTCATGTTGATTAAATTTAAAGTTCTCTCTTAATCTTATGAATTAAAATTTATACCTTTATAATTACTAAATGTATAGGTTATTACAGTATTTTCCAAAGTGGTCCAGATGGACCACATGGTAGCCCACGGGAGTCTCCAGTAGTATAAAATAAAATTCTGTAGTATAAAATTTTATTTGAATAAAAGTTTGCATATTCAATATCGAGTTGAACGTGAATAAGATTTCCAAAATCAATCATCTCCTACTCATCTGAACATTTTTTCAGACGTAGCGTTGGTTGCAGAGCAACGATGTTAATGGTAACTCAGAGATTGATGTTTGATAATTTTATATAGTTATATCTAAAGCAATTGCGTCTAACTAGGTAGATCCTTATAGGGGAAGGTGGAATGGATTACTACTAATAAGGGTTAGTGAGTTCATTGCTAGAAATTGTAACAAATTAAACAAGCATATAGCAAAATTAGGCCTATGCACGACAAAAGTCTGCAGATTCTTCCAAACTGAAGAGGAAACGCTACTACACATCCTATATGGTTGTGGCCCACTCATGCGTAAACGAATTATCTCCTTTGGAAAGTTTACACTTTTTCCCGAGGAGATAAAAACCAACGCTCCTAAGAATATCTTTCAATTCTTGTCCCTGACAGGTCTAGGTAGCGTACTCTGAAAAAGGACGAACACAATAGATCTATGTAGGTCGCAGTGCTACAAACACCTGACAATAGCCCAAACAACCCGCCAACATGTTGCATGCTTAATTATACTGAATATGTATTAAAAAAACTAGATACCTATCTTCATAAAGGCATACTTGACTGATTAGTTCTTTACAGTTAACTATACTTGTGTGCATCTGAGAGAAAAAGGAAACTATAATTTTATCTAATACCTAATATGAATGGAGGCCGTGCTGAACACCTACTATAATTTCACCCACGTCTTCTTTGTCATAAAACTAAATTGTTCGAGTACAACGCAGTGTTCCATATAAACTCACGGTACTGGCACGCAATTAAGATATCATAAATTGTGACAGAATTCTTTTATGAACTTTACGTGACACATATCGTTTTGACGTGATTATTGGCAGTTCAGTTCCGTGAGTTTTCGGGTGAAGGGGCTAAATTTTTAGTAAAGTAGTGAATTAGTGTTTTATTCATCAATGTCATCCACACTTATTTTCGTTGGGTTGCCGGAGGATTCGAAGAGCTCCATTACAAAGTATGTACTTATTTATATAGTTTATTTCTCCCCTTCTAATATTTTATAGAAAATGTTAGAGCACGGATTTTGTTAAGAGGACTGAAAACTATTAATTTGAGACTTTCATACTTAATATATGTATTATTCTTACATCGAGAGGATGAGCTCCTACTTCCTACTCCTCGAGTTAGCTATGGTAATTGTTTTGTAAGTCCTATACTGTCTTAAAACAGAAAGAGATTCTCAATTTGAATATTTTTTTTGTGTGAAAGTACCAGCTTTTCTATTGTAAACCAAAATATATATTTTTTGTGATCCTACCTACCTCTTAGATTTGGTAATGTTGGATATATTGGTACACCTAATTGGTTTCATTACAGACATAAGCAATATGTTTTAAAGTAGTAATATTAACATTATAACACTGTTTAATGTTCTTTTACTGATTATTATTAACTTGCAACGTATCTGTATTATATGAATAAATAGGGACGCGTTTACATAATATTGTCTATTACCTTTTGACAGCAATATACTTATTTAATATATTAATATAATATAATTATTATACCAATAAAAAAGACAAAATTATTCGAGTAAAGATGAAAGCATGAATTTACAGCATATGTAGAAATAAATGACATCGTAGCCCTCCGGAATGACAATATGGAGTGCTGATCATGTATATATATATAGGCGATGATTGACACTTTTTAGTAAGGAGGTCGTAATATTTACCTAATAGTGTAGTGATCCGCTGATTTGAAGAAAATAAAGTGTACTGAAGTAAGAACTACTTAAGTTACTTAAAAATTACTCGATCGTAAATCATAATATGCGAACGTAGTCGAGGGCTCAGCTAGTCATCAATATGATCTAGCTGACCCGCGTAACTTTGTCTGCATTGCACTTACTTGATATTTCGTCGTTACATAATAAATGTTAAATGATATTCTGATCTATAAATTTTTATCAAAATCTATTCAGTACTTTTTGCGTGAAAGAGTAACAAACATCCATCCATCCATTCATGCATATTCACAAACTTTCGCGTTTATAATATTAATATGAACAAAGATAGTTCCTATACATCTGTATGACTTTAACATAGCCAGGATATGTTATGCTCATTTCGTACGTCTTTTTAGTCTAATTGAAGCTGTAGGTTGGTCCAGATTTATTCCAGTTTTCACGTAGGCGGCGTTTGCGCATTTGCCTTGAGATTCCCAATTAAGGCAAACGACAGGCTTGTTTATGTTTTAATGGTTTATTTGTTCAAATTAGGAGTTATTGTGCAATGTTTTGCTTATACGTATAAGTTTAATCGGCCTTGTATGTGTAGATTTGGTGCAGACTGCAATTGCTTTTGTTCTTTTACAATGTTTTTCAATCCTTTTGAATATGCGACTATTTCTTTTTATGCATTTGGAACGGCAAACAAGCTAACCTAAGCCTACTAATGATCCATTCCAGAGGACTAAGTTGTTATACCTCTATCCTGTTATCTGTACAACCAAAACGCATTTTACATAGCTGAAATAGGCGAGACTATGAGGTAACCATGCAGAAGACTATACAATCGACGGCTAGCAACCTCCTGAATAAAGACCCTACAATAAAACTGCCTCCTAAGTCAGTGATTTGAAGGACACACACATCGACATATATTATATTATAGTTTTTTTTATTGTATTGTTGGATAGACAATAATTGTTCAATTACTTGATCTAACGGAGAAAGGCTTGCACAGTTTACACACAACCCTAAAATGAGGAGCAACATTCGCGGCGTTGCTTACTCTTAGATCACGGCTTCGGTGGTCTAGCGGTTTACCGCATCGTCTTACTTCCGAAAGTCGCGGGGTCCTCCAGGATGTAACCAGTTGTAGTCATGAGAATAAGTTTGTATCGGACTGAGTGCTTTCTATGTATGTATTTGACGTACTCTATCAGATGTCTTGTACTCATAACACAAGCTCTGCATAACTTGGGGCTAGATGGAGCTGTGTGAATTGTTGAGAGTAAAAAAAAATTGGTCTAATAATTGTTCCTCGATCGCTTCGTGCGTGTCCTTCGACATATTTTTACCATCAATACAATCGCCAAGGTAATTAGATTTTATCCCACAGATTGAAAAACACTGTTCTTCAGCTGCATAAACCCATGTCTGCTTCCAGGTGTCACCGTGTCGTTGAAATTACGCCACGCCGTTGTGGTCTTGTAATAGTCGGTCCGTTTTCTTTGATAATTCGACTCGCTAATTCACATGCAATAGCGAGAATAAAAGGAACAACGGAGCAAACAATAGAATTGCACCCCGGATTGTGAATAAAATTAGTAGTTTCGCAATTTTCGTTTCCAGTCTCGTGAATGGAACTGTATTTATATAAGAATACTGTAACGGACATGCACCGATTAGCATTTGATGAAAATACTGTACAGTATTGTTTTGTTTATCCTAAATGTAAAAGAAGGTGTATATTAATTTGAATTTTAAGTGGATATATCCCTTTTCAAAACTATATTTTAAATATTTATAATATTCATTGTACCGTGCAAAGCACAAGTGCAAAAATTCTCATTACTTGAACCAGTGAGAAATGTTATACAAAGTTGCTTCGTGGGTAACCTCACCTAACCTAACTCTACCGCCCGGAAATTGCTTTGAGGTGTGTTTTGGTTTAAAGGGTGAGAAGTGTAAGCTATGAATTTCCAAGTTATGGAGGCATAACAACAATGTTCTTAGAAATGGTAACGCGTAAGGGATACAACGTGTATTATAATCTGTAATTTTTGCCAAATAGTCTTATGTGGAAACCCCACTACAAATCCTATCTATCCCAACTTATGTATAAAAGAAATATACCCTTTGCAAAGTATACACTCTATCCTGAGGAGATACAAACCATCACTCCTAAGAATATCCTTCAATTTCCTAAGATTGTCCTTCGGGTCGAACATTGAAAAAAACCAAAAAGCCTCAATAAAAAAAACCTGTTATATATGTATACGATGAACACCTACCATCTTTATAGAAACGCTTCACTTTTTTTTTCTTTATCATATCTTCATAAGTATTATTATTCTGAAGAATAGTACAGACTCTAGTATAATAGTTTGAATAGGAAAGGAAAGAAGGTGAATATATACTGTAAAGCGTGTATTTTAAACACACTAAAGTCGCAGTGATAAAATATTACATGAACTTCTTAGTACTTAAAACTAAAGTCGATGCAATGAAATATTATTTATTACTGATTCGTGCAGCCTGCAAGTTGCGGTGTCACGTAATAGGATTATTTTGGCTCAGCCATCACAGTTGGTAACAGGATAGTCTGGTTTTCCGGGAAGCCTTATAGTTTCTGAGGGGGCTTTGTAATGCAATGCAACCTGCAAGGGTGGAGCGGCTTGAACAACGTTATTTTCTGTGTATTCAACAATTTAATATTTATATTAATAATATCTCTTCTAAATTCATTACAAGACAGAAGAGCATTGATACCTATAGACAAACACTTAACGAAAATGAAATAATCATCTTAATATTTTAAGTACTTACATATGTATATTTATTTACAGTTTTTTCTTTGTATTTTTTTTCATATGAAATTCCGTATATTTTCATTCTTGGAGGAATGTTTAAATTTGAT